GTATCCTCCCAAAGTGATAAGTAAGTACTCTTTGGTCCTTGGTAACATTGTGAACTCAGGGATTTAAGCATATTTGATGTTTTGAACCATTATTGTCCTTGTTGACTTTTCTTAGTATATTGTCAAATTATATGAGTGTATTGTCAAATTGCTCAGATTATCTCATCTGTGGCCAGTGAGGGCCCCTAAGCTTGACTCATAAGACATTTTTTCAATGGTCATAGTGATCTCAGCCTCTTTGCTTTCTAATATGGTATGTTCTAATCATTTACTAGCTTCAGCCTCCAACCTAGAATTAGCCATTTTTCCTAAAAGCTTTTGGTTTCATTTACTCTGGGATACAGTATTTAGATATCACAATCTGGGTACTGTAAGTGCTCACTGCTACAGGTTTGGCCAGTGCTTCTAGGCCTTTATAGTTGGCAGAGCTAGGGGAATGATTTTTAAGATTAAAGTACACCATGAATTTGTACTTAACCTTACTGATGGTACAACTGTATCTCTTCTCTTACACACTGGAAATCCAACTTAAGGAGATAAGTGTAACTATCTGTCACTGCTGTCACACAGTCCCAGAATAATGGTACCAGCACTAAAAGAGTACTAGGATTATTGGAAATAGGTTTTCATTTCATAGTTTTTTTTGTCCTTAGGGTTATCCTTCTTATATATTCAAATTACCATGTTTTAAAGTCACTTGGAGTGGAATAGTGGAATATAGGACAGAATTGGGAAGGGAGCATACGCAGTGTTTCTAGATGGCTCTAAGCCTGTGTCTATCACTGACCCATCAATATCTTTTCTAGTTGGAGAGAGTGCCATCACCTGATCACCGCCGGAGAAGCTACCGAGACTTGGACAAGCCCCGTCGCTCTCCCACACTGCGCTACAGGAGGAGTAGGAGCCGGTCTCCCAGAAGGTAAGGCCCTAGTCATTGGTCTCTCCCAAGAAGACTTTTAGAATTGCAGCACAGAAGTTTGGACTTCAGGGAAGGAAAAATGCCAGCCTATGGAGAATATCTGCTTGCCCAATGTATTAGTTACTGTAAAATAACCACCAGCCAAACCTCAGTGGCAGACAGCAATTATTTAGTTCACAAGTCTGCAGTCAGTGATTTAAGCTGGGCTTGGATAGGTAGTTTTTAAAATACAAGTTAATGTTCACTCACCTATTTTGTAGCCAGCTGTCTGTTGGCTAGTATAGGAAGCCTTTAGCCAGGATGTCTGGGGTAAATCATTTCTTCTCTGTGTCTTATTCTAGGCTAGGTTAGGCATGTTCTCTTGGCAGTGGTAGAACTCAAGCAAACAAGCCTAGTCAGGCAAATATCTTTCTGGTATCTGTGTCACATCTACAAACATCCCATTGGCCAGAGCAAGTCACATGGAGAAACCCAGACTTGGGAGTAGAAGGGTGCTAAAAAAAATTACACAACAAAGGGCACAGATAACAGAGGTGGGTGAAGAACTGGGGCAGTTTTACAATCTACAGCATCCACCATACCTACTAAGGCTCTTCTTCTTTTCTTTCCATATAGGCGGAGTCGGTCTCCCAAAAGAAGAAGGTAAGCCTCCAGTGATTTCTGATGAATAATAGGGATTTAGGGAAGCGGGTGCTATTGTGAGTATATTGTCGGTCAAATTTGGGAGTCTTAACTAGTCATTTCCACAGCCCCTCCCCTCGCCGAGAAAGGCATCGGAGCAAGAGTCCAAGACGTCACCGCAGCAGGTCCAGAGACAGAAGGCACAGATCCCGTTCCAAGTCCCCAGGTATAACATTTGGGCCTTTTGCTATTTGTTATCCTCTATAATTCTATCCAACAAAAAATTAGGCTCCTGCAATACAGGAGTGCCTCTGTATTATTGCCTATCTTAACTCTCATTTATAAGCTTTGCTGATGATAATAAGCTTCAGTTTTTCTATCTGAAATTATATGAGTAAGACCTAAAAGAGTAGTGGTAAATACTCAATGTGATGTTTCTGAAATTAGTCATAAAGCTCTGATGCCTTTAAAGTGACTTCTGTTCCCTTCTTCCCAACATAGACATAGACACACACACACAGCACACACAAAACCAGTTATGAGAAATGCTACCAACAAGAGGTGTTCCTTGCATAGGCCAAAATATTAAGCCAAAGTTAGAGATTGGGGAAGATGAAATAGTAGAAGTGTAGAATCTCACTCATCCAATGGACTTTTCTTCTCTAGGTCATCACCGTAGTCACAGACACAGGAGCCACTCAAAGTCTCCTGAAAGGTATGATTTGACCTCTATTGTGAGTTAAGAGTTTCACTCTTAACTCAAAAATTGAAGTCCCAATCACAACTAATTGGACCTGAAATTTTGTTTTCATGGGGGTATTTAAGAATTCTCCTTTATAGGACAAAAGCTGGCCTACTTCCCAGAAAATTACTAAAGTTGTACATCTGTTTTATGTTGTTTATTTTTCCTTGTAGGTTTGCAGCTTTGGATAGTGGTAAGGGCATGAGCTTTGGTCTCAGGAGACCTGGGGTTAAGTCCCAACTTTTAACACCTAAAAGTTGAGTAACATTAGATAAGTCACTTTTCATTTGATAAGCTTCCTAACTGCTATATGCTATATACTGTTAGGTACACTCTTAACCTCACAGAGGTCATTTCCTCAAGGGTAAATTTTGGATATTTAATGCCCGACTCAGTATTGCTTTGAGACATAAAACACAAAGCTCAAATAATGAATATTGGGTTTCATCTCCTTCCCCATCAGTGTCAGCATATCCCAGTCTTCCTCAGAAGTCTCTGCCCAGCTCTTTCAACAGCTGCTAAATTATTTGTATGTCTTGCCCATTTCAGGTCGAAGAAAAGCCACAAGAAGAGCCGGAGAGGGAATGAGTAATGGACTCAGTTTGGCTTTAGTCCAAATGGCCTCCTATGGAGTTGAAGGCATCTGTCTATGTGGAAGGATTAAGACCTACTCCCCAGGCAGCTATGAGAATATCTGCTTTTTTCTTTCTTACCAAGTTTCTCAACTTCTTTTTTTTTTTTTTAATGAAAGAGGTGCTGAGTTTTTTATCTCTTTTTGAATTGCAGTCCATTTGGGGGATAATGCTTCCCAAGGGCTGCTTTTGTACAAACAGCCAACCTTGACTGTACTTAAAATTTATGAGGGTAGAAAGGTGGAGAGTATGAATGACAAGGAGAGGATGTGGCCACCTAGTGATCCTTTTGTTATTAAATTTGATACACCCATTTCCCATTTTTCTGTGGTTTGGTTTTTGGCTTGCTCCATGATTGGAACTGTTCTAAGAATCCTGAGATTTGTGCTGCTGCTTTTATATTCAAAGATCACATCAGTAAAACATATTAGTTCAAAGTTCAGGGGTTTTTTTGTTCAGCAGCAGTAAGTGAAAAGCATGAAAACTGGTGAGCAGCAGCTTTGTAAGAAAAGAATGCATTCAGAGTAAAGCTGCTACTGGATTATTTAATCCAGTTGCATTTCCACAAACAGTAAAACCTAACACATTTTCTGCAGCATTCTTACATAGTTTTCTTCTTCCCCTGCAAGCCTTGAATTCCAGGGTAAGGCACTTGGCCTTTATCTTACAAGTATTAACATTATCTACTCAGTAAGCAGTAAGGCAACAAGATTGAAAAGGTTTCATGGGAAGAAAAGTTATCTACTACTACTCAGGGTTTTTACCTGAATTGATGGACAATAGTGCCATTCCCAAAGCCAGAAATACAGAAGGAAGTCACTAGGTTTTAGAGTCTAGGGTAGGTGAGTTGTAATAGTGAAAATGATTCATCCTGTTTAACTTCAAGTTAAATTGGAGACAGTCATGGTATATCTAGATAAAGCCCATGCAGCTGGAAATAGGGACTGGAGTGGAGCTAAATGATCTAGCCTGGAATTGACAGTGTTTAGGTAATTGTGGAAGATATATGTAAGAAAATTCAACAGAATCATAGGCAACCCCAACACTGGTGAGAGCAGTGTAATCACTGATTTAAAACAAACGAACCTCTCAGGCAGAATTATGAGTAGGTGAAAGAAGACAGGGGTAAGAATGTAGAAGCAAAATAACTGAAAAGTGGGCATTGATAATCAAGAGGGTGCTGGGGTCTTTGCTAGAAGAGTTCTGTCTACCTTTACTTGCCTTCCCTCTAAAAAGGAACAAGTGATTGAATGACTTCGTGCAGCTCTGGCCCCAACAAGAACTGTGAAGACCAACTGCTTCACAGGATCCAGTTTCTTGGGAAGTTGTATCTGATGCTAGGATAAGCATGCTATTGCTTGCTGTTAAACTGAAGGGGTTTTGCAGCAATACTGCGCTTCTGGATCATATCTGAGATTTCAGTTCTTCAGTGATTCCTTTTCTGAGAGTCATTATGGTCCATCATACAACTATATATATAGGACTGCCTTTTAAAAGTTAAGTCCATTTACTTCTTTACCAAAGAAAGTGATGTAGATAGAGAAAAATGTCTTGTGGCTAAATGACCTATGGATCAATCAAGTCATCCAATACATTAAAATAAAATTTTTATTTTAAGGCACATTTTCAAATAAATTTACCACCCAACAATTTTTATAGCAGAGAAACCTCTCAAAACAAAAACTTAAGAAGCATATTATTTAGGCATACAGTGAAATCTGGACCAAACTGGGGAAGCATAACCAATCTATAACAGGAAGCAGATTGTTGTCCCTGTTCTTTTCATTATCACAGAGACAGCAGTGAGTGGAACAAGTCCAACACCTCTCGAGATAGTTTCTGTAAACTGCAGAATTACAGAGGAGATGGAGCTTAACAACAAACCTTGCTGAAGGGCCATTTCTGTCATCTAAATGCTAGTCTAAATGGACGAGACCTTGGAATTGTAGCTTTATAACTTTTTGACTGCAGGCTATATTAAACACATTTTACATTTTGCCTCTATACATATATTCTGTACTGAAAAAAATTTCAGGAAAAAATTCTTAAACTCCCTATGCAAGACATATGCTGATATTTCCTATACAGTATCAGTTTTCAATGTTGGCTACAAACCACTAAATTGATTTCACTTCCCATAATTTGAATTATACTGCCCTTAATAAAATTTTTGCCATAGTGCACAAATAACCTTAATATGTTATGAAGGGAGATGTGTTTTCAGGGCAAAGGAAATGCTTCTGAAAGGCTTCCTTTATAACAATTTAAAGCTCATTTCCCTAGCCCTTTTCCATTATTTTCAGTAAACTGACCTAAGTTTAAGCAAGCATTAATCAGAAAAGAATGATCACAGATGCTGGCCACTCCTCCAGTAAGGTTTAAGTAACAAGGTCTCCATAGACTCAAAAAAGACACAGCAAAAAAAAAAAGTGATCTGTTTCTAAAAATGGAAGTATGTAAGTTCAAAGAAGAGATTAAAAGACCTGAAAACTATGCTTGGCAGAGCTTAAGAAATGAAGATTTTAAAAACTGGAGAAATGAAAGCCTTATTAGAAAAAACAGAAAACAGAAGCCATACAGAAAATAAGCTAGAGGAAACTTTTAAAATGGAAAATAACAAAATACTTAAAGCTCCAGAGATAATAAGACACATGAAAAGAATTCTGATATGCATAATTGATAGCCCTGAAGAAGAGAACTGAGCAAATCAAACTTTTAAAAATTCAAATAGAATATTACCTGAAAAAAAAAAAAAACAATCAAGAAATGGGTCCTGATTAAGAGAACTTTATGGGCATCCAAGCAGTGAAATCAAGTCATGTATACATAGTGAGGGAAAAAGGATCATCTCAGACCTGTAGCAAATTCATAAATCAGTGAAGCAAAAGGCTCCCAAAGGTCTGAGGAAAATAAAGTATACCAGGAATTTTATACCCACAAAAAGTTGTATTTAAAATATAAAGGGCATAGATATTCTGAAGTATGCAAGAACTTACAAGTATACAATCACCTGGGGAAAAAACACTTGATTACAAAATTCACCGAAAAGCAGTTCAAGAAAAGTAAACCTTTTAGAAACTCAAGAATAATGGGGAATGACTATGAGATGCAAATTAAATATTTGAATATTGTCTATATAGGAATAGTAAAACCAAGTAGAAGAACTCTTAGGTGTGGTCTTATTTTTCATAACAGGAGTCATATGCTATCTCTAATTAACATACATGAAGCAAGAAAAAAATGACTCCAGAGTTTTAATGCTTTTTATAACTATCCTTTATTTTAGAAGGAATCTTTTAGGACTAGATTCTCTTAGAGAAAAAAATTTTCAAGTATTGTTAACATTTCTTCACTTTCACATTTTTTCCTTTTGTTAATAAATCCAAGTAAAATTAATTTGCTTTATTTATTAAATATAGCATATAAGCCCACTTTTGTAAAACTTACATGTATTTAGGACAGGTAGTTGGAATGAAATTCACCAAATAGTAGTATTTATTTCTGGTTGATGCACTTTTGAGTGATTTTTATTTAGTGCTTTTTTCTTTTTTAATAAACATTTAGATTATCCTTCACATGGAAAAAAAAAGTTGTTTGGAGTTTCAAGCTTTTTTATAAGCTTCCAACACATGTATTGTTTGTTGGAACTGCCGGTTGGTAGCCACTTTTCTGGAGGGCAATTTGGCAATATGTAACAGGAACCTTATTCTTTTTACACAATAATCCCATTTATAGGAATTTGCCATAACAAAACAAATATACACTTAGATTTATCCCATCATTTTACATATATTTTTTATATATGAGAAAAACTGGAAATAGCAAAAATGTCCATCTGTAGGGGTATGAATAGATTATGTAGAACATCATTAGTGTTCATATATTTGAATAATCTTTAACGGCAAGGGAAAATATTAATCCCTCAGTCATTAACATTATTCAAAAAATTTCAAAATAGTGATCTTTTTGTGTGTGTGTGTATACATAAAACAATTCTGAACTTCTCAATTGCTTTACAATGAATTCATAATAAAGTTTACAACTTCTATGAAAAGTTTGCAAACTTATAAAACTGAAGTACTGTATAAATTACAAACTAAGAGTATTCTACTTTTCAACTTGGAATAGTTTTACCAGTTATTGAACACTGGCAATTGCTGAAAGAGGGACAAGTGAAATGATGAAAATTACTATATGTAACACTTTTATGTAAGTATAACCTAGGTGATGGGTTTACTGCCCCACAAATACCTTTGGCCATGTGGTATATACTGCCTTTAGGAAGGATGGCTGAGTTGGGGGCAGTCTCTCGTTGCAGTTTTCTTTTAATGAAAATTACTAATATATACAAAAGTAGAACAGTAAAATGAACACCTTACATACCTCATCACCTGTTCTCCAAGACCTGAAAGGAGATGAAATATTTGAACGCTCCAAGTCATTTTTTAATAAAAGAGCTGACTTTGGTATTCATTAATAAAACAAATGAGCTAACTACACCACTTAAGTAGGATCCTGAGGGATGCCAATGCTTTAATATGAAAAGCTAACAGTAAATACACCTGCTCTTAAATTAACATTTAATAAATACCTTTCTAAGGTTGTAAATACGGTAGAAAAACCCTCAACCTCCTGCAATGTATTTCAGGTATCTTCCATGTTGGAGAATACATATGGCAAGAGCCCAGATAGTCTCCTGTTTAAGTAATGTATATCTGAGGAAGCAGTACAAAGATAATAACTATCCTTAAAATACATTTGTATTTACTTATTCTGCAGATTTCCAAATTAATCTATGGCATCATTTAGCATAGAAGTCTTGGTAAATCTCTCTGAGGGGTTTGGACAAAATTACCTCATTTCAGTGTATAGTATCAAAAACAGCTAAAAAACCTAACACCAACAATACGTTTGAACTCCCCAACTATAATCACTGACCACAGGCATTATTGGTAAACACCACTATGGCTTTCCAGGTAGTACAGGAATTCTATGCCAAAATGGATAGTCTGACACATATTTGTTCCTCAGAAAATAACAATCATCTCTTCCCTACTTTAATTGTCAGTATCAATCTCAGTGTTTAAAAACTGCTTCAAGAGATCTGTTTCAATTTTATATCCAACATGTATCACCTTTAGAACTCACTTTATTGTTTTGGCCCTCAGTTTTATCAATGATAAAATGCTTCTATCCACTTCATATGGGTGTTGTGAAGATCCAGTAAAATAAAGGACATGAAAAAAAATCCTTGGATTTTTTAAACTAAGCCTGTGATGTAGAATATTCACTAACAGTAAAACATCTCTCCGAATTGTCAACACTGTATTTCCACTGTCTAAACAACTAGATGAATTAATCAAATTTGACTCTTATCAAAGATTTATTAACTTAAAATAGAATTACTTCAAATACAGACAAAAGCAATTTTGTTTCTTTGAATATCATCAATATACAAAGAATATAAAAGAAAAAATTCTGAATCTTCATGTTGTAGTTTTACTTTATTTTTTTTTACCTTTTAAAAAGTTTTTGGCACTACAAGATTCTGTAAAGAATAGAAGTGACAAATTTAAAACACATGAAAGTCCTTCCTAATTCTTAAGAACAATATATATAAAGTCTGAAGCAACCAAAGTATGAATACAGCTAATAGAAAATAAAGAATGTAATTTTTAAATTCTCTCTTTATACAATTCATCAAGGTTAAACAAAACATAAAATTCCCTTAAAAATAGGGTAATAAAATAGATGAAATTTGTATCACTCAATTTGGTGATACTAGTAAAAACTATACTTCATATTTATATACAAATAATACAGTCTTTAAAAACAGTTTTAGAATTTAAATAAGCTATCTAAATGTGTTAAAATTTTAAATCAGGACCTGATTTGTTTTGCTTTCCATTAAATGTCACTTTTTCTGCTGAATGTAACTGACATTGAGGTACGGATACCCTTGAGACAGCAGGATTGGCTGGTTGCTGTACATCGGTAGACCAGCTGAAAGAAAATGGACTCGCATTACTCCGACACGTTTCCTCTTGGTGGGTGGGGACAACGCTCTCTACACCGACGGGTGGCACATCTGTCTGTTGGACACAACACAGACAGGAAACTGAAAGGCTTGTGCCTATTTATCTGACAACCCCTTAGAATTAACTAGTAGCTAGTTTTCTTTTTTCTGTTTATTTAGTAAAGAGGAGATGAAGCACTTCAAAACATTTAGTAGGGGAGAAGGGTGGGGTAGGGACTGTACATGAAAGAAATGAGAGAGATGGAGAGGAGGAATCAAAGGGAACAAACCCACCAGGGAAGAACTTCAAACTCTCCCCCAACCACCAAAAGGGCCTATATGACCAATAGTAACTTTCCCTCAGCCCTAGCTCTTTGCTCAGCAGAATAAACCAGCCACAGTTCAAGGTTCTGCCTCTCTATAATAAAGAGATACCCCAGCCAGACATGGATAGTTTAGGTAGGAAGGCTTAAATTTATTAAGCCTGAGACCCATACCAGGGCCCCCCCTTATAGTTACCATTTCATTAGGTCAGCATTTCCTGAGTGCCTTTCTTTAATTTCTTGAACTCCTAGTTTAACTGTAATAATTTACTCCAGTTTTTTTGAGCTCCTAGGTTAGAGCTAAAGGCCAGACTCAGATATTCCCTACTAGAATTGAGATATCTCTGAGGCAAGTAGGCTAGATAAAATGCTTACAAATTCCTTGGACTTTTCCTTAGTTTGTAATAGTCATTACTTCAAAGCCACTACTGGTACATCAGCACCAACTAAATATAGTGAATTCCAGTGTCATTCAAGTTCAGTTTTAAAAAACAATATGACTGTGCCACTACTGAACTCAAAAACTTCTGTTAGATACCCACTGCTTACTACACAGAGTCCAAGTTCCACGATACAGCCTCAGCCTGCCTACCTTTAGCTTCATCACCTACACATCTTACCTACCTCATCCTTTAGTCCTATTATTTTTTTTCGTATTATGCTAGGCAAAACTCAGTGTCTTTGCATATATTATTCCCTCAGCTAAGAACATTCTTCCCTTCCATTCTCTACAAATCTCTAGGGAAAAAAATCCTTATCTCTTTGAATATCTGGTTCAAATTTCAAAACATTGTTTCATTTGATGCCTGGTGTCCATATCCTGCCTGCTCTCTCTGCTACGGTAACAGCTGATTTCTCTAAGCTTCTATTCTTGTCTATTTTACATGCCTGGCTATGATAATAAAATATGCGTTAAGTGTGGACAGTTGTATTTAGTTCTTGCTTGAGCAACAAGCAACTAGCACAGTCTGACTAACGTACAGTATATTCTGTTAACAAACGTTTACTGAATGCATGAATTTCACTCCCAGGTGCTAGCCTTCACAAAGGCTCCTTGTCCCAGAACAAAACCCACCCAGACTGTTAACAAATTTGTAAGGATGGTACCTTGAGTATAGAAAGGTTTGTTGGCCTGAAATCTGGCATTTCCCTGATGCATGAAGTTTTGATGCAAACCGTAAGGCCACGAAGCTGGGACAAGAGGGAAATGGGGACGTGGTGCATGTTCCCAAGGAATTGGAGGATTTAGTCCTGGAAAGCCTGGTTCTGCATTCAACAAGAAAGACATTTTAAAACATCAGTCTTTTCATTCAAATATTTCTTCATTCTGCACAGTTTACTGAGTACCTACCACTGGCCAAGATCTATGCTAAATGCAGAGGATACAAAAAAATTTTTTTAAGAATCAAACACTAATTGTGCTCAAATGATTCCTAAAGGACACATATATAATTAGACATATATAATAATATGTGGTAATTGCTGTTAACAGATCAGTGGAAGGTGTTCTAAAGTGAGGGCTAACCTAGTTGTATAAAGATAGAGGTTTTCCTATGATTGACTAAACTGAATTTTAAGGGAGAAGGAACGAGTTAGGCAAAATGGGGCAAGGATGGCATTTTAGACAGAAGGAATAGCATATACAAAAGCCAGGAAGCTGGAAAGTACAGCAAGTTTGGGAAGTTGCAAAATAGTCAACAGTCTAAAGGTAGGGATAAAGGGAAAAAGTGGTAAGAGAAAAGACAAACAGTAGGTATGATCTATATTTTGAAGAACATTAGATATATCATTAAGGAGCTTATATTTTATCCTAAAGGTGATGCCAAGTAGCCTACAGCTAATTATATCCTGGCCTTGAAGGAGATCCTATTAAAAGCTGACACATTGTGGTATAATGGTTGAGAACTTAGGCTTTGGAGCCAATGGATCTAAGTTCCAACAATTATTAAGGTTCTTTTAAAAACCTCAAGGTTGTTGTAAGGATTAAATTAGATAAAATGAAAGTAAACTGGCTTATACAAGTTTTGATGTATAAGTAGGAACAAAAAAAAATATGAGTCCTATTCTTTCTACAGCAAACTACCCCCAACCAATCTACTTCCTTTAAGATGTATCTTTAAATACATTTTTCAAAGTGCAGTATGCCCTAAATCTTATGCATCATTTTTGGTAGCTTTTCTCATCTAGGATCACAATGTGACATGAAATAATCTGAAAGACACTGCCTTTTTCCACTAAATTTCCTAGCAGGAACTCAAATTAGGAGGTGTGGGATAGGGAGCATAGGGAGCAATAAAACTAAAATCCATACTAGCCCCATTCTCACAAACTCAGGAGGTAACCAGGAAAACAAAGCCCCTGGCTCACTGAAAGTTCATACAGCTAAGTTACAGCTAAGAACTAAAGTTGCAGGGTTCAGAGTTTATAAAAAATGAGACTGGGTAGGTATGTTGAGGTCCTGACCAATTGCAAAATTATGTTTTAACATAAAAGGGTATTTTTAAGAGTATATTCCAATCTCCCTTGGCCATTCTCCACAACCAAATATTTTCATAATACAAGCAATATAACCCTATTAAAGATAATTCTGAAAACATGGAAAAATTCATACAATCTCCTACTCTAATACAACTATCATCATTTTAATATATTCCTTTCCAGTCCTTCCATTTTTAATACAGTATTAATTTTAGCTGTAATATTAATTAGGAGTGGTATACCCATCCAAACAATCAATATATACTGAGTAACAGTTTATATAATATATAGTAGAATATTACACAAATAATGTATCTATCATACATCAGGCAATATACTGAACACCAGAGAGACAGTGACAGGAAATAATTCATAGCCTCTAGAAGTTTAATGGGTTATGCAGATAAGCCAACAGGCAATTTCAACATAGTAAGGCAAGTGATATGATATGGATATTAAGGAATCATGGGGGAGATAAAGAATACATCATAAAATTGGAGGACAGGATCAGCAAGAGTTAAAGGCTGATCTCTTTTCCTAAACAAAGTGATCTAAATTTTAAAATGGAGGATAAGCAAGTTAGCCAAGCTTTGGAACAAAGCAAGAGGAGGAGAGAGTGAGCAGGAGGAGTGATGGAGAGGATATTCCAGGCAGAGGGAACAACTCAGGTAGACCATCAGCGGGGTGAAAGACAGTATGCAGTATGCTGATCGAATGTTAATCAGTTATTTAAGGCTGAAACAGGGATCAAATACTGGTAGGGACAGGAAAGACTTAAAACTATAAAAATAGAGCCAAAACATAAAAGGTTAAGACACTGGATCTGTTGTTATGGTTATATAACTCAGTAACTATCATAGTGTACATCATGGCATACAGGTAAAAAAACATTTCTTGAAGCACAGGCCACATTAGAATGGCCATGTATGCCACATAGCCTTTTATCTTGGAAATTAAATGAGTTCCCAGTCTGGTATTTCTGCTCAGCAAAATACATTATCTGTATTGTTCCAAAAAAGGTTAGAGATGCCTCCTCTATCACAGTGCTCTAAGGAATAACTTAGAATTATCACTAAAATTCATTTGAAAATGCCTCCTCTATCACAGTGCTCTAAGGAATAACTTAGAATTATCACTAAAATTCATTTGAAAGTTTACAAAGGAGAAGATTCAAGCTTTCAGTCTACATTTCCTATGCAAACTATACTTCAGGAAAGCTAACTAGTTAATAAGGAAAGGTCTTTATGGAAGAAACACAAATAGTAAATAAATAATCATCATTTGACAACCCTGCTGAAATGGATATCAGCAATAATTATCAATGGTGGCTAAGACTATAATGTAAAACTAATGAAGAACTTTATAATGGATGGAAGAGGCTGACATCACCTAACTCACTGATCAATCTTAAGTAACTAAAAGAGGAACCACCACATAGTAAGTTCCCTCTGAAGTGAGGGAACAGGAAACATACAGGACCAACCAAGAAGTAAGATCCTTGCTAACAAAAAAAGTCCTGAATCTAATCCAGCCTCTGGACCCAACAACCCACTTAAAGGAAATACGGGGGCAGAAATACATGTTACAACAATGCCACAGAGATAAAATCAGCCAACACCAGAATGGGGGAAATTCTGGTTTCTTTAACGAATAGTTAACATGGGGGGAGACATAGGGGAAACTGTTATAATTAAAGGAGACTTACAAGATGTAAAAACCACATACAATGTATGGGCTTTGTTTGAATCTTGATTCAAATAAATCAACAATGACAATAATTTTAGAGAAATAGGGAAAAATGAACAAGGACTGGGTATTAGATAATATTGGATATGGTAACAGTCTTGTTATGTTTTTAAAGAGATAAAAACTGAAGTTCATAAGCAAATTTGATCCAACGTCTGAAATTTGTTAAATTACTGAAGCCAAAAAATTTTTTTAATGAGGTGAAGGGTTCAGATAAAAGAATAGCATCAATATTGTTAACTCTTAAATTGGCCCAATGGGGGGTTTCATTACACTTTACTCTCTCCTTTTGTGTACATTTAAAAATTTCCATAAATTTTTTAAAATAAAAATATCCCAAAAAAGCTGGATATAAAACTAGATTTATTGCATATATCAATTATTTTTAAATATGCAAATAAAAAAAGACTGGACAGTAATACATCAAAATATTACTTCACAGTTATATCTAGGAATTGAGATTATGGATAACTTTTTCAAATTTCTATAATAAATATGTATCACTTAGGTATCAGAATAAAACTATTATTTTTTTAATGCTACAAAGTACTACTAATATCTTTTTAAAGAATTGTTTCTTACTGAGAGAAAGTAAGGGTCTAGGGCAAAGGGCACAAGTCTGAAAAAAGAAACTGGTTTAAATCTTAAATCTACTATAATCATTTATGACTGCATGGTAGTTAAGTTTTTTAACCCTTTAATTTCCTCAACTGTAAAATGAGTGCAAATAATACCTATGCCAAGCAGGATTGTTGTGAAAATTTTAAATAATAATTAACATGTATATTACTTCATTTAATATTCACAATATTCCTGTGAGTTAGATGCTATTAGTATCCCTACTTTACAGATAAAACCAATGCACAAAACTATTAAGCAACTGTCCAATACCATATAGGTGGCAAAGCCAGAATTCAAATCCAGGCAGTCTGAATCCACAGACCATACTCTTTACCTTTATCTAATCCTATACTGTCTCTCCACAATATTGCTTGCTATCCATTTCTTCACATTTATTTCCCCAGGTTCAACCAGTAATACCAATCACCCAACCTTTCTATAGACAGACAGAAGAGAAGAAAAGGAAGGGTTACCCGAATTCCCCACTGTACCATTGTTCACCAGGGAATTTGGAGCCACAGCACGAGGCCAGTGTCCATCATGAGAGGAGCTAGGGATCGCCACGGGTCTAGCAGCAGGCTGTGCAAAGATGATGCTGGGATCGTTCAGGCCAATATTGCTGGGGGCACTGCCTGGTGCAGAGTGGATCACTGGGCCATGAATAGGCCAGGATGGGGTAGGGATCTGGAGGGGGTGTACTGGCAACAATCCCATATTGTGCATGGGAGAATACTGAGCTGGTGGTGACTGGGGAAAGTTATACATAGGCATCTGGACCTGATGGGGGGGCTGGGCTCCCTGCTGAGGTGGGCCAAGCTTGGGCTGGGATCCTGGCTGGGATGGAGGCTGGGTAATGACAGCTGATTGGCAAGAGTTCTGTGGAAACGGCTGGGGCTGAGGAGAGTAAGATGGTGAATCAGACTGCAGAGAAAAAAAGATACATTTTAAGATTAATTTATAAACATCTTAATTTTATAAAAGCAGAGATTACCAAAATACAAAATCATGGAGTTATTTAATTAGAACATATAAACAGAACTCTATAATGTGAATAATAAATAATAATAGAACCTCATTTTATACGAAGGTAGAATTTTTCCCAAGGTCCTCAAACCCTCTCTCACATAGAAATTACCTCATAAGCCTTTCTACTGTCCAAAGAAGAGTGAGCCCAGACATCATCCCCTTCATGTAGATCCACATTTCAAATTGTAACTAGAAATTTACACCTAAATATCTCAGTCACTTTGGTTCAGTACCTCAATAGTATTTGCTGAGTGTCAGTTATGTACTGGGTACTGTTCTAGGTATTCAAAACACAACACTAACTTGTAATGCCTTCATGGAGCTTCAAGTTCATGGGGGAAAGGTGGAGGACCAGGTAAAGATTACATAAGAATCACAGTAAAGTACAATGATTACTATGATAAAGAACATGTAGGGTATAGTACGTAACGAAATCCCTAAACTCACTTTGGGAGGAGGGTAGACAAGATGAAGGAAAGTGTAAATCAAGAGAAACTTCTAGGAGGAAATGACCTTTAAGCTGAGACTCAAGGGTAAATAGAAACCAGTCTGACAAAAGAGGGTAAAGAGGAAGGGAAGTGTTTGATACAAAGGAACAGAATTGAAGGTCTGTAGGCATAAAAACACATGGCATTTTAAAGTAACTGTAATCTGAAAGAAGTTTAATATTACTAGAGTACAAGGGCAAGAGCAGGGGAATGGCAGATCCAACCAAGGCTGAAAAACTAAACAGGGACAAGATAATGAAGTCCTACAGGCCTTACAGTTTAGACTTGGAAGGCATTAGGAAACCGCTGAAGGGATTTAAAAACAGGCCAGGAACATAATCACTCAGTGTTAAGGAAAAACTATTCTAGTTTACTAGGAATGAAATAGAGTATATTTAAAAAAAAAAAAAAAGACTGATGAGACTAATTGATTAAAAGACTGCTCTAACACAATAGTTCTAAAATGATGGTAGCCTAGGCTAGGGAAATATAATACTGGAAACAAAAGAGAAACAAACAGCTGTGAACAATTTTTTATAGATAGGAATACCGTGATTTCATGAGTGATTGGATGAGGGGGTTGAAGGAGAGGGAGTAGTTCTGGAAACTAAACAGAGAATGAGACCACTGAAGGAGGAGGAGAGGCAAGTCTGGGGAGCTGGAGAGAAATATAAGCTACCTTCCAGACATGCTGACCCTGAAGTGCTTTGTGAGACATCAGAATGGCCATGTCCATTAGACAGACTCTTACCCAAATCTTAGGTGAGAGAAAAAAGTATGAAAGTGAGGGGTAGCATAGGAAAGTGGTTTTGGAGACAGAGTCTGAGAGTTCAAGTTCTGCTTCCAAGTGTCTGTTGACCTCAGGCAAGAAACACAAACTCAGTTTCTTCACCTGTAAGGTATAAATAATAACAGAATCTAACAGGTTTTTGTAAAAATTAACTAAACAATGCATGTGGAAAATATAAACCAAATTCAGGACAGTAGATACATTTTAGTAGCAGGGAAGGGATGGGAGACTACCTAATAAGGCTGTTGTTTAGATTAAAAGTAAGTCACGACTCTGAGGTTTCCCATTAATATGGGAATAGCATCCAAGAGGAATGTACAAGGGCTGTCAATTATGGGTAATTTTTTAATAAACCAAAAATAACAAAATGTTACAAATTGTTAAAGCCTGGTGGTAGTACATGGATATTTATTATTTTAGATACTTCTTCAATGTTTTAATAATATTTTATAATAAATAGGGGGAAAGAATGCTTATATAGCACACAGCACTCAACAAATATTAGTTAATATCATTGTTATTATGTAACATTTATGAAACTGTCAGCCTCACAGTAGGTATTCAGATGTTTGGGAGAGGATTAGTGGGCTTCTAAATGTTTTTCTGAGACTCTCCCTGTACTACTCTTCAAATGTTCTAGTATGTTTTTCTAAAATACAGATCACTTCAGATTACCATGTATAAAAGTTACCAGCTTTGAAGCTACATAGACCTGGGTTCGATTTTTTTCTCTCTTTCCCAACTTCTCAGTTTGTAAAATTTGATAATAATAACCTACTACTTTACATAGCCACTCAAAGGATTAAATTTGGTAAGTGTGAGGCAGTAAAGCACACTGTCAGGTTTAGAAGCTTTCATTTAGTACTGAATTTAATTAAGTTAGGAAGTACAAGGTGAATATAGACTTAAAGAAAGGTAAAAAGCAACTCAGCAAAACTAATATGAAACTTGTGAATCTGAATTCTAGTCGCTAGTCTTTTACAAGGCACAATTTCATCAGGCATCCACATTAGCTATGAAAAGACAAACAAAAGCTTCAAGCAAGTGAAATGCAATACATGTACTGCCCTAATAGTACTAAAGCCCTAATACGTCTCAATTTTTGTGTGTTATTTTTTAATAGTACTGACAGTTTTTCACTAGGCAAAGCCTGAAATCCCAACGTCATTACTTATTTTAATATAAACAACAACCTTATTAGATAGTTGTTACCTTATTTTACAAATAAGGAAGAAGACTCACTGAAGTTAAGTAGCTTGTCCATCAATATAAATCCAGATCTACAATACTCCAAAAGTAATGGTCATTCCACCTCATGTGCCCAACAAGGACACCTCTACAAAGCGCTGTATCATCTGAAAGATTCTATTTGCCCATCTTAAAAGACCAACCCTATCACCCATCAAAGACAGTGCTGTCATCCTGCCAAGACTAACCATATACAAGCAGAATACTTACACATTCTGAGGACTGTCTAGACCTTATAGACTGATCACCCTGTTGCTGGGCTGAACCAGCCACTTGTTGGGCATTTACAAGGTTGCGGACCAGCTGGGCTGCTAAGGAAGACATCAGAAAGGAAATCAATGGATAAAGAAAATAGCAGAGAAATGACAAAAAACTCACTTCTTCTTAAAAAAGAGTCTCAAATCTGAGATTTTATAAACTTAAGACTTTTAAAACTATGATTATGCTAGTGAAAGGCTATAAAAACCATTTTTTAAAGCAGTTTTTCACTGGTCCTAGAAACAATAATCGAAGTGTTCCTAAAGGACACAATGTATTTATTTAACAAAATACCTTCTGCAATAAGACTCTGAATAACTGGTAATCATTACTTCTAAAATATTCTAGTTTTTTTCTTTCAATAAACTCTCATTTGGGTTTCTAATTCTTAAAATTCCTTATGAAATACAACAGGAATAGATTTCCCTCTCTCAACAGCAGTAGGAATAAATATAATTTCTCCTTTATGTTCCCAGAAAAAATCCTCTCATTAACTTTTGAAAAAAAGTTACCATCTTAAGGGACAGAAATAAAGCATGTGACTCAAATCCAAAGAATACTTAGAGGGAGTTGAATGAATGCAACAGATTACTATAACCTTGATTGTGAATACATCCAAGTACTATTCTAAATAGAAGCCTGTCTAAATTATCTATTTAAGAAATTATTAAGGTCTAATATCACACAGCTAGGTTTAGAATAGAGAGGAATCAGGGTCCTTAGAATGACATCAACATAAATGATTTTATTTCCACCAGAACTATTTTCAGCCTTTTCTATTTACCTGCCACACTGCTATTCCTCTGACGGGCCAGCTTGACCTCTGGGCATTCCCTTCGTACATGTCCTGCATCTCCACATATAAAACATCTGAGGTCTCTGGGGTCTCTAAAGTCTCGAGCGTCGTGGAGGTCTCGGGGGTCAAGAAGATCTCGGGAGTCTTTCTCTTCTTCATTCCCTTCCTTCTCTTCTTCACTGTCTTTCTTCTTTAGTCTAAACAGTAAACTGCTGATACCAATAATGTGGGGCTAGGGACTTGTAAACTGACAAACTAAACTATGTAAGAGTCTCACAGTAAACTTGCCCATTATTTCATGCATGATTTTGAAGGCAAAGGAACTCACATTTACAGCACACCTACTCATATGACAGAAACTGGGTATATCAGTAGTTTTATAGTACAGAATCAAATTTGTTTTATTTTAGTACTGAATTTTAATCTTACAACAATCCTCAGAGGTTGGTATTTATTATCCCCATTTTACAGAGGAAGAAAAGAAGCGACTGAGGCTTAGAGAAGGTGTCTGGCCTACATTTAAGAGTCAGTAAATGGGGTGATGGAAATAAGGAATTTGTTCTATCTGAAAAGTTCTACTAAGTTCTTTATATTAGGCAAGACTTGATGACTGAAGAAGGGATTTTCCTGGCCTATTAAACATAGTATATAGATCATATAGAAAAGTAAATTTTATAGATATATTTTCAGGAGGTGTAAAGAATATATACTGCTCAAGGTATCTACTATATAGGTATACCTCAAAGCATATACCTCAAAACATTCAGTTAATTATATTTTAATTATTGGTTTGTGTGATTTTGAGGTCCTCAATAAGAACCCCATATCTTGGTGATTTTTTTTCTTAGTACAGTTCCCAGCACAAAGTAGGTGTCAACAAATGCTTCTTCAATTAAAAAAAAAAAACCCCGAATGAATTAATGAGTAAATGAACAAATAAACATTATGAGACATCACTGTACCACAAAGAAATCTCACTCATTACAAAATTCCATTCAAATATACATTTACCTAAGGTCCAGTTTAAAGCCCTGAACATTCTCACTTAAACATATTTGAACACAATGATAGCTAAAATGGCTTCACATTTATTTTCCCTGTAATGCTAATATACAATCATTTGCCAACCTTCTCCTTTTAGGGCAGTCTTTCATATAGTGGCCTATTTTTCCACACACACGGCAACATCGATCATTGGGAGCCAGTTCTCCATCTGTTAATACTCTGGAATCAAAGAAGTATTCCTATGAAGAAAATACAAATTTACTAGAAAAAATATCACTATTAATTTTTTAATCTAAACAGAAAGGAGACCAAGACACAAAAGTGTTTTTTAAAAAAATGAAGTAAGATACAAAACTACAGCTTTATGATTCAAGGTGGCGGTGTGAGAGGTGAGACGGAGAACTCCTCCCAAAACCACAAATAGTATGAAAATATAGTTAATTAATACAACTAACCCTAAAACAGCAACAAGAAAGAAGGCTGCACCAGACTGCATACAGACCTCACAAAAAGAGCAGACCTCACAAAACATGGTAACATATAAAAGCCTTAATCAGGCGGGACCCAAGCTCTTTTCCCAGCCCAGCTCAAGACAGGAGGAAGAGAAATAGAGCAGGAAGGGGGTGGAAGCTTGTGACTGCTGAACACCTAGCCCTGGAGATCTGCTTTGTGAGCAGAAACCTATATTGTGTGGTGCTCTGGACGTTGGGGAGCTCAGACAGGCAGAGTGCTTGAGAGACTGAGATTCCGGCCATTTGTGGAGGAGGGGATCCACGTCTGACCACTCTGTGTCAGAGGAAAGGCAGGCAGTCTGAGAGGCTTTCTGGCAGCGAGAGGGCTGCTGAAGGAGCGGGGTTTGGACGGAGCTTGCTGCATGGAAGAAGGGAGAGCTGGACAAGGTTCTCGGAGCATGCTCTGCCCTGCTGGTTAGGAACTTTGAGGAGCTTCAGGTGACCCATCCCCCTGGCTGCCTACTCAGCTCTGAGGCCCTTCACTGTGACATCAGCCTGCTGTGCCTTCCTCCTAGCCTGCCAGCACCAGTTCACAAACCAGCAGTCACTGCGCTGGAGTAAGGCCAGCCACAGGAGGCCGCACCTACAACAGCTAGAGACACAAAGCACAGAGGCTTACACCAGTGTGCTTGGCCCATTGGCTCTGACACTGGAGACAGGCACCACAGACGGGAATCAGGAAACAGATCTTTCTTCCCCCCAGGCAACAGCTCCGCTCCCCTACTGACCCCCAACCTCACTCTAGGGGCTGAGCAGCTCCAGAGACTGGAGCTTCCAGGCATAGTTGGCACCACACAGAAATATGAAATGTCCAAAGAACGTGGTTCAGACCAAAATCTCACAAACCCCAGAAAAAGGGTCAAATGAAACTGAACTCACCAATCTTCCTGAAAGAGAGTTTAAAATAAAAATTGTAGACATGCTTATGGAGGTACAGAAAAATATTCAAGAACTCAAGAACTAATTTAAGTTGGAGATTCAATCATTAACAAATTCCATATCTGAAATGAAACATACAATGGAGGGATTTAAAAGCAGATTAGATGTTGTAGAAGAGATGATAAATGGAATAGAAATTAGAGAAGAGGAATACAAAGAAACTGAGGCACAGAAAGAAAAAAGAATCTCTAAGAATGAAAGAATATTGAGGGAACTGTGTGACCAATCCAAACAGAACAATCTTTGCATAATAGGGGTATCAGAAGAAGAAGAGAGAGAAAAAGGGATAGTACGTGTCATTGAGGAGGAAACTGCTGAAAACTTCCCCAGTATGGGGAAGGAGATAGTCCCTCAAGCCATGAAGGTGAACAGATCTCCCAACACAAAGGATCCAAGGAAGACAACATCAAGACATATAATAATTAAAATGGCAAAGATCAAGGATCAAGACAGACTTTTAAAAGCAGCTACACAGAGAAAAAAGATCACATACAAAGGCAAACCCATCAGGCTTATCATCAGACTTCTAAACAGAAACCTTAAAGGCCAGAAGGGTGTGGCATGACATATTTAAAGCAATGAAGCAGAAGGGCCTTGAACCAAGAATACCCTATCTGGCAAGGTTATCATTTAAATTTGAAGGTGGAATTAAACAATTTTCAGATAAGCAAAAGCTGAGAGAATTTACCTCCCACAAACCACCCCTAACAATACATTTTGGAGGGACTCCTATAGATGGAAGGATTCCTAAAGCTAAATAGATGTCACCAAACAGATAGACAAAGAGTACAGAATATGATTCATAACATACAAAGAATGGAGTAGGAATAAAAAGAAGGAAAAAAAAAAGAACCTTTATGTTGTCTTTGTAATAGCATATGAAGTGAGTTAAATTAGAATGTTAGACAGTAAGGGAATTACCCTTGAACCTTTGGTAACCACAAATCTAAAGCCTACAATGGCAATAAGTACATGACCTATAGATAATCACCCTAAATGTAAATGGTCTGAATGCACCAAACAGAAGACAGAGAGTTACTGAATGGACAAAAAAACAAGACCCATCTATATGCTGCCTACAAGAGACTCACTTCAAAGCCAAAAACATACACAGACTGAAAGTAAAGGGATGGAAAAAGATATTTCATGCAACTAATAGTGAGAAAAAAAGCAGGAGTTGCACTACGTGTATCAGACAAAATAGACTTCAAAACAAAGAAAGTCACAAGAGACAAAGAAGGACATTACATAATGATAAAAAGGGTAAGTCTAATAAGACGATATAACTATTATAAATATCTATGCACCCAACACAGGCTCACCTACATATGTGAAACAAATACTAACAGAATTAAAGGGGGAAATAGAATGCAATGCATTCATTTTAGGAGACTTCAAAACACCACTCACTCCAAAGGACAGATCAACCAGACAGAAAATAAGCAAAGAGACAGAGGCACTGAACAACATATTAGAACAGATGGACCTAATGGACATCTACAGAACACTCGATTCAAAACCAACAGGATACACATTCTTCTCAAGTACACATGGAACATTTTCGAGAATAGTTCATATATTAGGCCATAAAAGGAACTTCAGTAAATTCAAAAAGATTGAAATTGTACCAACCAGCTTCTCAGATCACAAAGGTATGAAACTAGAAACAAATTGCACAAAGAAAATGAAAATGCCCACAAACACATGGAGGCCTCAAAACATGCTCTTAAATAATCAATGGATCAATGACAAAATAAAAACAGAGATCAAGCAATATATGGAGACAGATGACAACAATAATTCAACAACACAAAATCTGTGGGACACAGTGAAGGCCGTGCTATGAGGGAAATATATTGCAATACAGGCCTACCTCAGGAAAGAAGAACAATCCCAAATAACAGTCTAAACTCACAATTAATGAAACTAGAAAAGGAAGAACAAATGAGGCCCAAAGTCAGTAGAAAGAGGGACATAATAAAGATTAAAGCAGAAATAAATAAAATTAAGAATAAAACAATAGAAAGAATCAATGAAAGCAGGAGCTAGTTCTTCAAGAAAATAAACAAAATAGATAAACCCCTAGCCAAACTTATCAAGAAAAAAAGAGAGTCTACACACATAAACAGAATAAGAAATGAGAAAGGAAAAATTACTACGGACACCACAGAAATACAAAGAATTATTACAGAGTACTATGAAAAATTATATGGTAACAAAATGAATAACCTAGAAGAAATGGACAACTTTCTAGAAAAATACAACCTTCCAAGACGGACCAATGAAGAAAGAGAGAATCTGAACAGACCAATCACCAGCAAACAAATTTAACTGGTAATCAAAACTTACTTAAGAACAAAATCCCTGGACCAGATGGTTTCACTGCAGAATTTTATGACACATTTAGTGAAGAGCTAATACCCATCCCTTCTTAAAGTTTTCCAAAATGTAGAAGAGGAGGGAATACTCCCAAACTCACTCTACGAAGCCAACATCACTCTAATACCAAAACTACACAAAGACACCACAAAAAAGAAAATTACAGACCAATATCCCTGATGAACATAGATGCAAAAATACTCAACAAAATATTAGAAAAACCAAATTCAAAAATACATCAAAAAGATCAACCATCATGATCAAGTGGATTCACCCGAGGGATGCAAGGATGGTACAACATTCGAAAATGCATCAACATCATTCACCACATCAACAACAAAAAGGACAAAAACCACATGATCATCTGCATAGATGCTGATGAAGCATTTGACAAAAGTCAACCTCCATTCATGATAAAAACTCTCAACAAAATGGGTATAGAGGGCAAGTACCTGAACATAATAAAAGCCATATATGACAAACCCACAGCCAACATTATACTTAACAGTGAAAGCTGAAAGCTTTTCCTTTAAGTTCAGCAACAAGACAAGGATGCCCACTCTCCCCACTTTTATTCAACATAGTTCTGGAGGTCCTAGCCACGGCAATCAGACAACACGAAGAAATAAAAGGCATCCAGATTTGTAAGGAAGAAGTCAAACTGTCCCTGTTTGCAGATATCATGATATTGTACATAAAAAACCCTAAAGAATCCACTCCAAAACTACTAGAACTAATATCTGAATTTAGCAAAGTTGCAGGATACAAAATTAATACACACAAATCTGTTGCATTCCTATACACTGACAATGAACTAGCACAAAGAGAAATCAGGAAAACAATTCCATTCACAATTGCATCAAAAAGAATAAAATACCTAGGAATAAACCTAACCAAGGAACTGAAAGACCTGTACCATGAAAACTACAAGACACTCTTAAGAGAAATTAAAGAGGACACTAATAAATGGAAGCACATCCCATGCTCTTGGCTAGGAAGAATTAATATTGCTAAAATGACATCCTGCCTAAATCAATCTACAGTTTCAATGCAATCCCTATCAAAATACCAACGGCATTCTTCAATGAACTAGAGCAAATAGTTCTAAAATTCATATGGAAAGACAAAAAACCCAGAATAGCCAAAGCAATCCTGAGAAGGAAGAATAAAGCAAGGGGAATTACGCTTCCTGACTTCAAGTTCTACTACAAAGCCACAGTAATCAAGACAATTTGGTACTGGCACAAGAACAGACCCATAGACCAGTGGAACAGAGAGCCCAGATATTAACCCAAGCATATGGTCAATAAATATATGATAAAGGAGACATGGATATACAATAGGGAAATGATAGCCTCTTCAACAGCTGGTATTGGTAAAACTGGACAGCTACCTGTAAGAGAATGAAACTGGATTACTGTCTAACCCCATACACAAAAGTAAACTCAAAATGGATCAAAGACCTGAATGTAAGTCATGAAACCATAAAACTCTTAGAAAAAAATTTAGGCAAAAATCTCTTGGACATAAACATGAGCAACTTCTTCATGAACATATCTCCCCAGGCAAGGAAAACAAAGGCAAAAATGAACAAGTGGGACTATATCAAACTAAAAAGCTTTTGTACAGCAAAGGATACCATCAGTAGAACAGAAAGGCATCCTACATTATGGGACAATATATTTATAAATGACATATCCGATAAGGGGTTGACATCCAAATTATATAAAGAGCTCACGCACCTCAACAAACAAAAAGCAAATAATCCAATTAAAAAATGGGCAGAGGAGCTGAACAGACACTTCTCCAAAGAAGATATTCAGATGGCCAACAGGCACAAGAAAAGATGCTCCACATCGCTAATCATCAGAGAAATGCAAATTAAAACAACGAGATCTCACCTACCACCAGTTAGGATAGCCAACATCCAAAAGACAAATAACAACAAATGTTGGCGAGGAATGTTTTCTCTCCTACACTGCTGGTGGGAATGTAAATTAGGTCAACCACTGTGGAAAGCAGTACGGAGGTGCCTCAAAAAACTCAAAATAGAAATACCATTTGACCCAGAATTTCATTCCTAGGAATTTACCCTAAGATTGCAGCAGCCCAGTTTGAAAAAGATTTATGCACCCCTATGTTTATCGCAGCACTATTCACAATAGCCAAGAAATGGAAGCAACCTAAATGTCTATCAGTAGATGAATGGATAAAGAAGATGATGTGGTACATATACACAATGGAATATTATTCAGCCATTAGAAGAAAACAAACCCTACCATTTGCAACAACATGGATGGAACTAGAGGGTATTATGCTCAGTGAAATAAGCCAGGCGGAGAAAGACAAGTACCAAATGATTTCACTCATCTGTGGAGTGTAAGAACAAAGAAAAAGACTGAAGGAACAAAACAGCAGCAGAATCACAGAACCCAAGAATGGACTAACAGTTACCAAAGGGAAATGGAGTGGGGAGGATGGGTAGGAATGGAGGGATAAGGAGGGAAAAGGGGCATTATGATTAGCAGACATAATGTAGTGGGGGTGGGGGGGAACACGGGAAAGGCAGTATATACAGAGAAGATAAGCAATGATTCTATAGCATCTTACTACGCTGATGGACAGTGACTATAATGGGGTATGTGGGGGGGACTTGATAAAAGGGGGAGTCTAGTAACCATAATGTTGTTCAAGTAATTGTACAGTAATGATATCAAAATAAAAAATAAGTCTGAATGCATGAAATGGCTAGCTTCCCACTGAACATATGCATGAATACACACTAAGAGTTGGAATTCTCATAATTTTCTGGTAAAGTGCTTTATCAGTGTATCATCAGATTTGTTTTGATTTGACTGTTGTTTTCATTTATTGCTATCTTAATTAATATGTTAGTAAAACTATTATTGGGTTTTCCTTTTGTTAGATATTTTGTTCTTGCATGACTTTTGTGTTGTTTCCAATTAATTTTTTTCTCTCCATTATTATTTATAGCACCACTCTCTAAGAAGCAAGACAATCAAAATTCCTGAGAACCAGTGTTCCAAGGGAAAAATGTTCTAGACTTCTCTTTGCTTTTCTTACCCCACACCTCTAGGAAAGAATGCTGAAAATGGACTGAACACATTTAAAGACATTCATTATGCAATAGTAGAGACATGATTTCTCTCGAGACATTTTCCCTTGAAAATTTCTTCCTCTGTGAAACTGAGACCCACTCCCATCAGAAAGCAAGCAAAGTAAGAATAAGACCAAAACAAACATGGGCCTTTTTCACCTGAACACCTCACCAGTTCAGGTGAAAGGAATCCTCTTAGTTCCATACCATCTAATTCAGCTTAGCAAAACTACACCAAAATTAAAGAAGTATTTCTTAGGTGTTGTCCTCTCTATTTTCATCAAGATTTCTAGAAATGTAAGAGGCCATGGGCAGTACCTCAAATTCAAATTTTAAGGATCCTGAGTCTTGACTACCCACCCTCATTCTTTCAACAAATGTTTATTTGGTACATCCTATGTGCCAGACACTATGGACTATGATAAGTGCAATAAGAAAAAAATACAGAGCATTATAACCATCTTCCTATTCCTAACATCAACTTGGAAACAAGGTTTCTTGTACTACAAAAAACAAAGTTCTAAAAGAAAAAGATTCAGAATTCAATTATGTCTACTTACAGCTTCTCTGCCGATAAGTGGATAAAAAGGGGTACCAAAAAGTTTCCTTCCATTGATAAATGCCTTCATGATGAAATTGGTCACTATTGAAAAAAGAAGAAAACAATAAAGATACAGACCTTAATGTATAAGAGCTTTAAAATGGGGAATTGCTATATTTAAGACTTACTTTTTCTAGAAACTCCAGCACCAAGGTTATGATTCAAGTCAAAAGGGTCTAGAAAACAAATGTTTTGTTCTTTAATTAAGAATCATGTTTACTGTAACATAAAATACACTTAGTAGCTATAACTATAATCTAATACTATGTAACTCAGACTATCCAAACCAGCAAATCATTCTTTTAAATTACAGATTAAAGGATAGAAACTGATAAAAAATCAAGAGGAAAAATCTTCCATATTCCAATGTATTTCATTTTTCCCCATAATTTCCTTGGCCAAATGAAACTCTTTTTGTTTTATTCTTAAATTATTATCACTTAAATGATTACCTTCAATTGCAATGCACTTGGATGTCCACTGTTTCTCAAAAGTTGTCAACAGCTTTTTCTGCCGAATGCTAATTACATATTCTTTGAAATCAAATTCTTCAGTATAGAAGCGAAGGAGTCCCAACCAAAGTTCTCCTAATGTTTCTGTGTTCTTCCCAAGTGAAGGTAAACGCTTTTTCTACAGGTGAGAAAAAAGAAGAGGAGAGAGAAATATCAATAGCTCCCAAAATACGGTCTCCAAATCCAAGTAAAACCACTAAATTATTCAAAATCTAATATGTATCAGTGAGCACTCTATAACATAAAGAATATGAAAAATTACCAGTTCTTCTGTTTTATCAAAGAAAAAAGCATTCCATCCATCAACCATTCGCTGTGGAATGTGTTTCCCATCAAAGATCTGTATAAAAAAATTAATATTATTATTAGATTTCAGCTCATCCAGCTCAAAAGCCTAATACCCTCATATCATTTTAGAAATATATAATAGACATATTGTAATTACTCTTCCAAAAGGAACACGTCGAGGTGGTGTAACTTGGTGCCAAATCATTAATGAATAAAATCAAAGACCAAAAAAACCAAAGCCAGAAAAGGATATCCTAAGAGCATCAGATTCTCCCAAGTAACATATTTGATGTTATCTATTTGGCCTATCCAAACACATTAAGCCCAAGATTCAGTGAAGCAAAACTAAAGGAAAAAGTGAAAATAGCATTTTCACTAAAGGATCATAGGTGCAGAAATATGTAACACAGGTAATACCTACTGATAGTATACACTAAAGAAATTAATGGAACTATTTGTTTGGGGGAATGGGTCCAATACATTTCATCTGTTATCTCTAACAGATGAGCTGAAAAGCTCTTGGACACTGATCTTTTTAAATAGAAAACTAGGTAGTTTTCCCTGACATATTGAAAAAGATTGTAAAATCTTTATGATTAATTATGAATATAATTCACTGTCTCAATGAAGGAGTTGGGGGTGGGGGAGTAACATTACTTTACTAAAAGAAAAGTATCCTGTAAGATGACTGCATATGTACAACTAACCTCTACAAGCAATTTTGAGGCTTATTTTCCATAGGAGAGATGCAATAAAGTAAAAAGCTGCTATAGGTTCAGAGTCAATAAGCCTCATTTCTAGTCTTAGTCTTACCAAGCAGTGATTCCATGTAAGGTAATTATCTTCCTAAATTCTCAGTTTTCCCAATGAAAATCAGAGACTAGGTTAATTAGGTCAGCTGTTTTCAAATTTTATTTTATCAGTAGCTAAAACAAAGACATGGGATCCTGCCCTCGAAAAAAGAAATGAAAGTTTTAAAGAGGACAAAGTATAATATTTTACCCTTTCCTTATTATGCTCAGTGAAATAAACCGGAGAAAAACGAATATCATATGATTTCACTTATTTGTGGAATTTAAAAACAGAGTAAAACAAAATGAACAAAAAAAAAAAAAAACAGGAGCAAACATAGACACTGAGAGGTGACTAGTGGTTATAATTAGGGAGGAGTTGGGGTGGGTGAACATGAAGGGGGAGGTAGATAAAAGGGGATAAAAATTGTCAATCATAATGTAAACTGGTCATGGGGATAGCAGTACGGCAGAGAATATAATCAATGATTCTATAATATCTTTTTATGTTGACAGATAATTGCCACACTAGTGGGGGTGATGATTTAATAATACGGGTAACTGTTGAACCACTGTGTTGTATATATAACATCAGTGTAAAATTGTTTATCAAGAATATTTCAATTAAAAAAATTTTTTTACCCTTTCCTCCTCACACCAGTTAGGACGGCCAACATAGAAAAAGACTAGGAACAACAAATGCTGGTGAGGATGTGCAGAAAGGGGAACCCTCCTACATTGCTGGTAGGAATGTAAACTAGTTCAACCATTGTAGAAAGCAGTATGGAGGTTCCTCAAAAAACTCAAAATAGAAATACCATTTGACCCAGGAATTCCACTCCTAGGAATTTACCCTAAGAATGTAGGATCCCAGTTTGAAAAAGACAGATGTACCCCTATGTTTATCACAGCACTATTTACAATAGCCAAGAATTGGAAGCAACCTAAGTGTCCATCAGTAGATGAATGGATAAAGAAGATGTGGTACATACACACAATGGAATATTATTTGGCCATAAGAAGAAAACAAATCCTACCATTTGCAACAACATGGGTGGAGCTAGAGGGTATTATGCTCAGTGAAATAAGTCAGGTGGAGAAAGACAAGTACCAAATGATTTCACTCATCTGTGGAGTATAAGAACAAAGGAAAAACTGAAGGAACAAAATTGCAGCAGACTCACAGAACCCAAGAATGGACTAACAGTTACCAAAGGGAAATGGAGTGGGGAGGATGGGTAGGAATGGAGGGATAAGGAGGGAAAAGGGGCATTATGATTAGCAGACATAATGTAGTGGGGGTGGGGGGGAACACGGGAAAGGCAGTATANTCTATAGCATCTTACTATGCTGATGGACAGTGACTGTAATGAGGTATGTGGGTGGGACTTGATAATGAGGGGAATCTAGTAACCACAATGTTGCCCATGTGATTGTATATTAATGATACCAAAATTAAAAAAATTTTTACCCTTTCCTAAAATGGAACCTTCCTGGAAGCTCAATATGGAAAACAGATAAAGCAGAAGGTACTCTGATAGAGAAAACATGCCCCATCTTCTCCTTACCCCACTCCTCACATATATACTAATTAGCTCCTAGAGTTTCCCAGAATATACTTTAAAACCGGTAGATAAGGTGGTTCCCATTGCCCCTTCTGTTTTAGATGGGAAAGTAATTTACAAAATTAATTACATGTCTGGCCCGTCTAATTTCACTCTGAGGTTTAAGATCATTGTGAGCAAGGACTATGAATTATTGGTGGAGCCAAAATTCCTACTACGTCAAAGCCTGCCATATAAAGAATATCTAATATATGTTCATTGAATGAATATATTTACTCTGTAAGCATGTTTACATAAAGATCAAGTTTCTGGAGACTTTAGCTAGTGAGTTGCTTTTTATATTTACATGTAACTTACACAAATATAGTTACCAAGAATCATCTGGCACAAATTCTGACATTCTATAAAACAAAAAAGGGAGAAGCTGGCAATTACAGAAATCAGTGTCAAACAAAAAGACATGAGATCTTCCCTTCAAAAAAAAGAAATAAAGGTTTTTAAGAAGCCAAAGTATAATATTTCACCCTTACAGATTAGGGTGCTATTATTAGTAGTACATAGAAAAAATACAAACTACCTTTCTTACTTTTGAGTAACAACCATAATCCAAACCCAACTACACTGGCTGTTAACACTATAAAGTGGGACCTTTGCTTTGCCTATGTTTATGAACTCTCATGTTTCACAGCGCCTAACTTTCCACTATTTCTGCCATTAGAAGCACTAATGCCATCTTCTTTCTCTTACACATATACACACATTTATACTTTCCGTTTCTCTCTTCTACTTTTTCTCTTTCTTTCAATACCAATCATCCTCCAGTCAAGCACTCAGTCCTCCCTCTAAAACCTCACCAAACAAGTCAATCATACTGTACAAAGAGTGACCCTGTTCACTTCCATATTTATTTTATTGTAATCTTTTTATATCTACTGCCATATTTAAACTGCAATTGTTCTAGTTGTGGTAAAATATGCATAACATAAAATTTACTATCTTAATTATTTTTAAGTATTTATAGTTCAGTGGCATTAAGTACATTCACATTTTTGTACTACAATCATCACCATCCACCCACAGAATTCTTTTCATCTTACAAAAATGAAACTCTGAACCTATTAAACAATAATTCCTCCACTCCTCTCCCCTCCCAGCCCCTGGCAACCACCATTCTACTTTCTATCTATGAATTTGACTACCTGAATGTAAGTGGAATCATACAGTATTTACCCTTTTGTGACTGGTTATTTCACTTAGCATAATGTCCACGAGGTTTATCCATTCAACTGCAATTTTTAAGCTGGTAAAAGCTAAGAAAACATAGAAGCTCATTATATCAAGTGTGTATAACACTCCCTAATCCTCTTCTGGTTTTCATTTTTATGTGAAAATTTACTTTTACTCATGATGATTTACCAGAATACAGCAAAGTCACTCTGCTTTGGAAAACTCCTTTTGAACTGAAGAACTTCAAATTGTTGAAAATGAAAAACACTCTTAGCAGAGCCTTACTTATATACCCAGTCACTTAAAGTCTAGATTCAATTACAAATGGAGTCCAGACCATCAGCTTCATTAAATATATCCTTACCCTTAAAAGTTGATCGATGTCAATGACCAACACTTAAATGATGCCAGAGCAACGGACAATGGGGTCCCATATGATAAGCAAAAAAGTCCAGAAGCAAACATCCATACATCACCAGTTCATATGTATCACAAAGCCCCCCAAAATCAGAGCTCATTATGATTGAAACCATTCCATGGACTGTCTCTCATTTCATCAATCACTGTCTGTTAAGCAGATAATGCGAGAGTTCTTGAAGTTGGCTACAGCAATCCTACCTACATTTTTCCAAAAATAATATTAATAAAGCTGCTAATCATAGTAATATAGTAATATAATGATAAAAATAATAAAAAAGCAATGACCATTTATGTGCCTACTTTAGGACCAAAGTGAAAGAAATTCATTGTATCTGTTCCTTGTATCTACACTGAAATACTACTACTATTATTACATTTTTGCTGATGATGAAACTCAAGACTAGTGGCAGTCAGGCAGCTTGTTGAAGTCCACAAGTTCAGAATCAGAATTCAAACCAGTTATCTCTGGCTCCAAAATCATGCCCTGTTCTTTCTGTTACATCAGATGGATCCTCATCCATGGGAAATAATATAATGAGAGAGAATAGACAAACCAGCATGAAAACAAATTTTGTGTTCCATTTTGGTTAATCATAGTATTCTGTCAAAGTCATAGTAAATGGTTGCTATGATATTATTACTGGTGCAATTATGTATAAGATCCCCAAATTTAAAGCCTAACAATAATTAGACTAAAACAGAGAATGATCCTGGCCTTGGAAGGCCTAATTAATTCATGCTAATTTTTAAATATCCCATAATAAACAATGTTATTTAAAAATACATCAATCAACATAGATTCAGTAACTTAAAATTTTCTGCTAGGAAAGGATATTTAAAATTTTTATTTCTCTTTCAGTATTTGTTCAAAGAGGGAAGACGCTGCTAAAACAATACAGCATTCATTAAAACTTTTTAAAACTTAACTAAGGCCATCTGACACCCACTATCATATGGCTTGCTATTTTGTGATTTTCTTCATTGCCATGACTATCAAAGTTCATGTGAAATCAGAATGTGACTTTCTAATCAATTCTGATGCATCTCTCCTACTTCAAAATAACCATCTTTCTAAGAAATTAGAACCAGATCCTAATTATAACTTGCAAATCCACTGTGCCAAGAATGAGGAGAAATGGATGATTAAGAACTCCTTTGTACCTGTTTTTACACAGTATAAATTGGCTACAAAAAGTGAACCTATGAGTCACCAAATCTGAGTGAGTATGAGCATGATCTGTTCTTTTTTATGTACATTCTTATGCTTAAATGCAAAAAACTGCCTTTACAGAGAAGAGGAAGAATTTTCTTGGGTTTTCTCTCAATCAAAAATCACAAAGTTGACCAAAGTATACACATACATAAATCAAACTTCATTGTCAGGCAGAAGGGAGAATAGTCTAAAAAGAAGAAATATGTGTTTGTATCTAAGAGAACAAGAGTTCATGGATGGCTACAATATTATAATCACCTATAATACTCTAAGACTGTGAAATATAAAAAACGTTATAAAAAATATTCAGTAGCTCTGCTCATCTAATATTCTTTTGTAAGTCTATGTTCTCCCATAATAAATTTTCAAAAGATTCATTGCTTTATTATAGAATTAATGAAAGAAGAAAACTCAGGACATCCATGATGGAAAAATCCATCATGATGTTATAAACTGAGCAAGATCTATCATGTTCAGTTTTCACAAAAAACTCCTTTACAGTTTTCTTATATACCTACCTCTTGTAGAACTGGGATAACAGGTGGTTTTCTCTGCTGCAGAAAGTACAGCACCATAAGGATATAAGCATATGAAGATAAACTTCCCCTGGAAGCATCTCCAATGTCACATCGCTAAAGAAACAACATAATAATTGAAAACAAACTTCAGAATCTTATTCCATGCAGAAGTACTGACTACTTTGAGACATCATTTTTTTTAATCCATCAAACTGGCACACAACAAACTATAATACAGGGTATAGATAAACAGGCACTCTTATATATTACAGATGACAGCATAAATTAGCATAAACTCCATGAAACAATTTGACAATGTCAAAATTACAAAAGCATGTTTCCTTTAACCTAGCAATTCTAAGAATTTATCCTGCAAATATACCAAAAAATACGTGAAATGACTGAATTAAGTTTTTTTTTACTGCAGCACTGTTTTAATAGAAAAAAGTCATAAACAATTTAAGGCTCACTGATATAGCACAAGTTTAAAATCTTGATGACTAGCCACACAACAGAATAGAACATAGCCATTGAAAAGAACAAGGAAGCTCTTAGATACTAATAGGAAATAATTTCTAGTATCTATTGCCAACACTCCATGGGGGTATAGAACCACCATGCTGGGAGTTATTTCATGAGATGCATCTAGAAAAATACTGTATCCAATATGGAGCTAGATGCCTTTCTTTTCTAAGATGAACTCCAGCCACAAAGACATGGAAAGGAGTATCTGAACAAATACATCTCTCTCCATGTTGGAAGTGTGGCTGTTATGAAATGAAAATGTGACTGAGTAAATCCCCTACTAAAACCCTTCCACTAACACATTCACAAAATGAACTATTCACTGTACTGAGCAGCTACAACATAAAGCAGGCATACATTGAACTAGGGATGCAGAGGTCTCCACCTCATGGAGTTTACACACTTAGCAAAAAAACAAGAGAACAGAATTCAGTATTATAAGTTTATAATAGGACAGACCTAACATTTTATTGGTATTGTTTATTTTCTTGGCCAGAAAAATTTATCATTAAGCCCGAATACCAGATTTCCTAGCCCAGAGATTCTTAACTAGGATGGTATGCAACTCCCATATCTGAGGCTAAAAATCATTACTGCATTGAGAAATACTATTACTGAGAAATTGACTAGTATTGCACATGGAAAACACAAGAGAAAAACTTAGAATCACCCTACTCTAATAGGTATAAATTTAAACCATTTGATACTGAATGTTTATTTTTTAAAGTTCAGGTAAACAAAACTGAGAAAATGTTTTTCAAAGTCTGACATCAGTATGTTTCACTTTAACTATCATTAGTTATTGTAACAAAGCACACCATTAACTTTTTCATACATACCTTGGCAAACACTTTCATAGTATATCCCAAGTATTGCACTCTGGGATCAATAGCTGCATAAGTAGCTAGCATTCTTGTGTTATGTTGAGCCTGAAAAATAATTACATATTTGAAAGAATTTAAAATATATTAAAATTGAACTTACAAATCAGATAAAAAAATATAATACACTTCAAATAGAATATATATGAATGTAAAACTTAAAATACTTGTGAGTCAAACAAAAACTAACTTTCAATCTGAAGGAAATATCAAGATGATTGATAAAATGTTTTTGACTTATTTTGCTCACATTTGAAAGTTTTGAACATGAATACATAGTAAGTGCTCTATAAACTTTTTAAATGACAAGTATAAACATACCTGTGTCTATACAGAAAGAGAAACTTACCAACGTGTTATATAAACTGATATCACCTTCTAAACCACTTCGTCTGTGTTCAAATTTTACAATAGGCACTTTGGCAGTAGTTATAGGCAAAATGTTTCTTAAACCTGATTTAAGAAAAAATTCACTAGATTAAGTAATTTTCATAAAGCTAAAATGTATTTTCTTTTGTTTTAAAGCTGTAATTTAAAATTCATACCTGGATGTCTCTTAAGAATTTTTGCCAAATTTTCTATTATTTCTTTACAATTTAATTTCTAAAAAAAGCAAAACAAAAGAAATAAATAATTAATTAAAGTTAGCTCAACTTGGTCTTAGTCAAATTCTACTTTAAGCATTTAATACTAGCAATTAAAATCTCCAGTCATAAGCTCTATATAACCTTGCTTCTCATACGTGGTCTGTTAAAGTGCAGCATCAGCACCATCTGGAAATTTAATAAAAATGTAGAATCTCAGGCCCCACCCCAAGTCTACTGAAATCGTAATCTACATTTAACAAGATCCCCAGGTAATTCACATCCACATTAAAGTCTGAGAAGCACAAAGACAGGAAATTAATGTTTTTAATACATGAATAAACAACTAGAGATGGGTTTGGTGAAGACAAAACAGTATATTAAGAACATAGGCTCTGAATTTAAACAAACCTGGATTCAAATCTTCAACTAAATACTGACTAGCTGTGTGACTTTGACCAGATCTTTAACCCATCTGAGCCTCACACTGCTGTTCTATAATATAATTAAGATAATCATAAACCCCTACTCTGTATACAGAGTAGCTGGAAAGATTACATAACATATGTATGTAAAGCATCCAGCAGCATGCTTAGCACAAAATAAGCACTTTAAGTCTGTGAGCTATTATTATGTAGATGAGGAAAAGAAAAAATAACCTTTTTATTACCAGCACTTACTTCCTTCAAGGAAATTCTTACCTCAGCAAATTTAAACATCCTGGTTTTTAAAAACCAGAGACAGCAGAGTTGATATGGTAACAATAACCATAATATGAGGAACAGGGAAGATAACGGCATTATAAATTAACTGATTAAATTGAAGGGTATATACATCATTGCCCACACTTACTACCAAAATCACTAATGTACATCCCAAACATGCTCTTTTTAGCTACAAAAGAGCAGCAGCCATTTTAACTGAACCTGGGGGTTTCAAAAGAATCTTTAGATACTAACTGACATATAATAAAGAGAGAATTTCTCTTTATTATGAAAGGATACAGTGTATGCTAAATCATAAGTTTCAATTATGGCTCATCTGGAAGAAAATAATTTATGCCTTTTCTTTGTTTCAACTTCCCAGTGTGAATAACATAGATTAAATATAATGTACACACCCTTGATGATCAGAAGCCTACTTAATAAATTTTACATAGAAGATATCTAAAACTCTAACCTCCTTCCTAGGTAAAAATCACTTCCTATTCCCTCCACTGTTGCTCTTCAAAATGGAAAGGAGCAGCCTGTTCCAAGTAGAGGACTGAATAGAAGTTAGTTAAGGAGAAGATATTTATAACTTTTCAGCTTCTTTACAGAACAGGATGTTAATTAATACCAGAATTAAGGATTTCTCAAGGCCAGAAATAAGGATCTACCAAGCATCACTTCCATCTTTAATTTGGTTCCAAAATTTTAAAAACACCTTTTGATGAAACTATTTCAGAAACACACAGGTATATTACACTGCTGAATCCTTTCATGATACAACAGAGGTTATACTGACACCACTACAGATGCCAGAAGCTTGGCCTCACCCCAATCTTGTAAGCAGTCCCTGATTTTGAAATGTAATTATCAACAGCTATGCTGGTAAAGGAATGAGCAACCACAGGTATCCCCCCCCTTTCTAGTTGCTGCTAGGAAGGCCTGAGACACTTCTCCTTGTCCAATCAGTCCCTTTCTTTACTGGAACTTGGACAATCTCATCCCACTGCTGAGGAATGTGCACAAAGAAGGAAAGTCTAAGTACCCACTCTCACTGCTGAGACTGCTCTGGGGGAAGGTCTGCTCCTGACATTTCATGGCAGAACTCAGGAAGTTTTCAATTTCACAAAGTAGTGGTTAGGTTCTACAGTACTATTAGTACTATATTTCAGCTACATTATGGATTAAATAAATTATAGAGAAGCAATGAGAAAGAGCATGAACTCTGGAGTCAGACAGACCTGGGTACGAATCCCGGCTCCAACATTTACTAGCTGTGTGAACTTGGGCAAGTCAGTTTATCTCTCAAAGCCTCAGCTTCCTCATCTGTAAAATGGGGGAAATTATCTACCTCGAAAGTGGTTTTAAGAGTGAAAATGAGATAATGTATGTAATAGTGAAATCTGGGGACTCAATAAGTGTTAGTTCTCCTCCCCACCCAAAATGAGTTTCTAAAAGTTATCCTAGAACATGTATGTCGTTTATAACATTGCTAATATAGAAAAAAGTGTGTTCTGAGTATCCAGATATTACAGTTAACTGGCACAACACAACGCATTTATAAATGAGATGTCCACTTTTACTTTCCATCTTTAGTGTTACAAAGACATTGCCTAAATGAAGAGCTATGAAAGAAAGAGTGAGATCAATGCTACCAAACTGAATCATCAGCTTCTCCTTGGTTCTAATGAAAAAAAAAAAAAAATCCAACTCTATGGTATAAACTTTTCCAAAAATTCATTACAAAGCACTGTAACTCTCAGTGACATAGTTTTTTCATTAAAAGCTACTGAAACAGTAAACTTATTTAATATTTAAATGTCTTCTAAAATGATAATACTTTTACATTTCAAACACTGCTAATAGACTTATACAAAGAATGATACCATATATTTTTATCAACACTATACACAAAATTAAAAATAGATTCATCATTGAAAGAAATAAACTTCCACATCCCTTTCCAAACATAACTCTTACCTCTGCATTTTCATGGCCTTCCAGGGTCATACAAATATCCAGATCACTATCACGAAATCCAAATCCATTCTTAGAAGAGCCAAATAAGCACAATCTTGCCTTTTCTAAGCACAGTAAAACAAAAGTCAAAAGTTTTATAATTAGCAGGAAAGAAGAGTCTTCTATTATCTACTAATGAACTAACATAAGATGATCCTGTCTACTTCTACAGCTTAAATTACCTATCATTGGCAAATACACTGAGAAATTTTAAAACACTCATCTAAAGCCCAGATCTTTGGTCCAAGTTCCCATACTCATGTATCTAACTGCTTTTTCCATTTTCCCACAGACATCATAAATTCATCAAGTAAAAATTAAACCATCAACTTCATCTCAAATCTATTATTCCTATACTCAGCAAATAGTATCATCATCCACCCATTTGCCCAAATCAGAAATATATGTAGGTTCTTATCTCAAGAATAACTTCCACATCCAAAGTCACCAACTTAACCTTCTTATAAATAATTCATCTACTTTTATTAATTCTCAACATCACTACCAATAGCTAAGATGAGTATTTAGAGATTTACTTTTTGGAATAAACTAGTTTTTTTTCAAGGCACAATTCAAGTAGTGTTGCAGATAGCACATAGAAATAATTCTCCTACAGAGTGAGTGATTAATCCACTTGATATAAATTATCATTCTTAAAGCCATTCAATAACAGGTAATCCAACTCTATGGTATAAACTTTTCCAAAAATTCATTACAAAGCACTGTAACTCTCAGTGACATAGTTTTTTCATTAAAAGCTACTGAAACAGTAAACTTATTTAATATTTGAATGTCTTCTAAAATGATAATACTTTTACATTTCAAACACTGCTAATAGACTTATACAAAGAATGATACCATATATTTTTATCAACACTATACACAAAATTAAAAATAGATTCATCATTGAAAGAAATAAACTTCCACATCCCTTTCCAAACATAACTCTTACCTCTGCATTTTCATGGCCTTCCAGGGTCATACAAATATCCAGATCACTATCACGAAATCCAAATCCATTCTTAGAAGAGCCAAATAAGCACAATCTTGCCTTTTCTAAGCACAGTAAAACAAAAGTCAAAAGTTTTATAATTAGCAGGAAAGAAGAGTCTTCTATTATCTACTAATGAACTAACATAAGATGATCCTGTCTACTTCTACAGCTTAAATTACCTATCATTGGCAAATACACTGAGAAATTTTAAAACACTCATCTAAAGCCCAGATCTTTGGTCCAAGTTCCCATACTCATGTATCTAACTGCTTTTTCCATTTTCCCACAGACATCATAAATTCATCAAGTAAAAATTAAACCATCAACTTCATCTCAAATCTATTATTCCTATACTCAGCAAATAGTATCATCATCCACCCATTTGCCCAAATCAGAAATATATGTAGGTTCTTATCTCAAGAATAACTTCCACATCCAAAGTCACCAACTTAACCTTCTTATAAATAATTCATCTACTTTTATTAATTCTCAACATCACTACCAATAGCTAAGATGAGTATTTAGAGATTTACTTTTTGGAATAAACTAGTTTTTTTTCAAGGCACAATTCAAGTAGTGTTGCAGATAGCACATAGAAATAATTCTCCTACAGAGTGAGTGATTAATCCACTTGATATAAATTATCATTCTTAAAGCCATTCAATAACAGGTATCACTTCAGACAAGCTGTGGCTAATAGGACTGGCTTTTCTCTCTTTTAATTCTAATAGACTACATATTTAGATAACAAATTCTGTATTTTCAAAACTTAATCCCCCAATTCACTTCTAATATCCCACATGCAATTTCAATGACAACTGAAAGACATAAAAGATGCCATGCTCATCAGCAAATAAAGTGTGCTCAAATTTAATACAATAAGGACTTAGATTTGTCAGTATTTTATACAACATCAAATATAAAAATGGAAGACTTTAACGTGTAACAGATTGTTTTCTAAAAGTACAAAACTCATTTACATTACAAATCCACTCTTTATTCTTTTCTAAAACATTTGACCATAGAACTCTTGATTCTTCACCCCCATGCCTAAAACCTGTTCCTTCTGCTATTTTTTGCCATCTCAGTTCAATATTAGCACCACCCAACTATTGAGGTAAAAAACCTCAAAACCATCCTTGACTCCTTTCTCTTTCTCATATCTAACACTGGCTCTACATTCAAAACATATCCATCCTTGACTCCTTTCTCTTTCTCACATCTAACACTGGCTCTACATTCAAAACATATCCTAAATATGGCCACTTCTCATCTCCTCTTCCAAATCACCATTACAAAATCATCTGAACTTACGCAACATCCTCCTAAATGTTCTGCTTGCTTCCATTCTTATGAAAATATATTCCATTCTTTCAGATCTCGTCACTTAAATATCAAAACCCTCCAGAAGCTTCTCATTAGTCACTCAAAATAAAATTCAAAATCCTTCTAGCAACATCCATAAGATCCTAATAATCTAATCTCTAGACTACCTCTCTGACCTTATCTTTTTATTAGTCTACCTCACACACTCCACTCGAGCCACACTGACTTCCTGGCTAGCCTTCAAACATGTCAAATATAATCTAATCTTGAGGCATTTGTGCTTGCTACTCTTCTCTCTAGAATGTTCTCTCCTTGGATATTCATCTAACTTGCTTCTTCATATTATTCATGGCTCTGTTCAAATGTCACCTTATCAGACTATAGTAATATTCCGTAACTATTCTATTAACTCCTGCACTTTAAAAGCGTTAATTATTTCCTGATATTACATTATATGCTTATTTGTTAGTTAACTATGTGTCTCCCCTTTAATATAAGCTTCATGGAAACAGGTTTCACCTCTTTATTAGCATGGAATCCCCAGCACCTAGATTATTACCTAATAAACACTTTTAAAATAAGTGAATGAAACCCAAACTAGGTGATTATAACAAAAGCAATCAATTTTTAATATATGACATACCATCATATTCTTTTTGAATAAACTTTTCCAAGCCAATTAAAATTTGCTCCCTGTTGTGTTGTTCAGAGAATGGTGGTGATAATTCATCTAAGTTGAAAAAAGAAAAAGGAAAAAGAAAAGTAAGGAAAATGGAATCTGAAAATGTCTTCAATTTCTTACCCTAAAAACTTAAAATTTCCTCCTCATTTTTTATTTCTCTAACTCTAACACCATAAATATTACTGAGGAAGGAAGGGGCAGAGCAACTGCAAATGTAGATCTGTGTACATTTCACATGATTATTTTCCCTATGAAATACCTACAAAATATATTTACACCTCTCAAATTATTTAATATTCTTTTCTTTAGACATTCTACTCTCTCCCTATAGTTACACTGTAGTTATATTATAGCTATACACATATTGTTATGCTAGGCACCTGACCCAATCACATATAACAGTTCCCTCAAATTGTCAAGATTTTTATCTTCCTTGTAAGCTGCTCTGCCCAATAACATTCTTTCAATGACCAATTCTTAACTGAATCTCCTTAGTTTTCCAAACCTCTTGCCGGTTTAGTTTATACTGTCCTTTCAGTTTTCTAATTATTTCATTTATACACATCTTATTTTTCCAAATAAGACCACACATTACTTAATCTTACTGAACATCTCCATCAAAGCTCTTGGGCGACCAGGTATACTGTCAATGAGCAGTAATATTTTGAAAGGAATCTTTCTTTTCTGAGCAGTAGGTCTCTAAGAGTGGGCTTACAATACTCAGTAAACCATGTTGTAAACAGATGTGCTGTCATCCAGGCTTTGTTGTTCCATTTATAGAGCACAGGTAGAGTAGATTTAGCATAATTCTGAAAGGACCTAGGATTTTTGGAATGGTAAATAAATGAGCACCGGCTTCAATTTCAAGTCACCAGCTTTATTAGCCCCTAACAAGAAAGTGAGCCTTGTCCTTTGAAGCTTTGCATCCAAGCATTGACTTCTCTCTCTAGCTATGAAAATCCTATATGGCATCTTCTTCCAATACAAGGCTATTTCATCTATACTGAAACTCTGTTGATTAGTGTAGCTACCTTCATTAATTATCTTAGATCTGGATAACTTGCTGCAGCTTCTACAACAAAACTTGCTGCTTCACCTTGAACTTTGATGTTTCTTTCCTTAAATCTCATAAACCAACCTACTAGCTGCAAACTTTTCTGTAGCTTTCTCACCTTTCTCAGCCTTCATAGCATTAAAGAGAGTTAGGGCCTTGCTCTGGATTAGACTGGCTTAAGGGAATGATGTGGCTGGTTTGATGTTCTACTCATAACTTTCTCCCTATTGGCAATAAGGTTATTTCACCTTGTTACCATTCATGTGTTCGTTCGTTCGTTCATTCATTCATTTGTCTAATCGTTCGTTCGTTCATTCGTTCATTCATTCATTCATGTCTTTAAATTTCCCTCATGAATTTTTACCTTGCATTTACAACTTGGCTAACTGTTGGGTAAAAGAGGCCAAGCTTTCAGCCTATCTCAGCTTTCAACATGCCTTCCTCATCATGTCTAGCTTTTGATTTAAAGTGAGAGATGTTCAACTCTTCCTTTCACTTGAATACTTATAGGGTTATTAATTGGCTTAATTTCAGTATTTTTGTGTCTCAGGGAATAGGGAGCCCTGAAATGAGGGTGAGAGACAGGGGACCGGCCCATTGGTGGAGGAGTCAGCACACATTTATTCAGTTTGCCATCTTAAATGGGCATGCTTTGTGGAGCCCCAAAACAATTACAATAGTAACATCAAAGGTCACTGATCACAGAATAAATATAACAATGAAAAGTCTGAAATACTGCCAAAAATTACCAAAATAAAACACAAGAGACATTCCAAATGCTGTTAGAAAATGGCACTGATAGACTTGCTTGACACAGGGTTGCTACAAACGAATTTGTAAAAAATGCAGTATCTGCGAAGGGCAATAAAGCAAAGCACAACAAAACAAAGTATCCCTGTATTATTAATATATAAAACAATTTACATCAAGAAGTGGGAGAAAAGATGCTAACCTAAGTAGTTTTGAAAATGAGCGGTGTCTCATAAAACTAAGGGCAAAAGGAACTGCACAGAAGTACTGTACTCTAATCGATAAAATTGTTTCCCATAGGGATACAGGATAACACTTCTGATAATGCTATACATGTGTACTTAGATGGAACAATTAAATAAATGGGTAGCAGAAAGCAGAAGTCATCAGATTTCTCACTGAAATGGGAAATTTATAGATAAGTAGGAAGAAGAAGCTTAAATGTGGTAATGTATTATAGTTGAAGATAACAGTACAAAGTTATGTTTAGCTTAATACAGACAAGATGATCATATACAGAAATAGATGTGTATGTGTATATATATATACATGCATGTATATTACATACATATATATGCATGTAATATATATAACTACACATACACACACACACACACACACAATGTATGTTAGTATACACACACAAATCTTTTTCCTCAGAGAGGGCCTAGAATCAACAACACCCAGTATCAATAAGCACCCAAGCATCCAGGTCTTGGTTTCTATTCTCCAATAAAAAGGACCAAGGCTTTTAGAGAAATGTCTATTTTAAGGCTGGGCAGGAAAAATACATGATGAGACTGAAGCATCTTGTAGTACCATAAAGCAAGAGAGTGCTTAAAAAAAAAATGAACAAACAAAAACCCCCTCACACTGATGGGAGTATATCAAAGGAGCAAAGGAACAAACTTAAAGAGATCCCAATAGCCAAATAAGGAAAAATATGAGCAATAAAGTAGTATTAGATTACAACCCAAAGTATAAAGTATCCCTGAGTCCACACCTAGATAAATGACTGAATAAGTAAAAACAAATGAGGTGAATTTTATCTTAATTAGGTTGTTTAAAAAAAAAAAAGTCATGATCTAGTCATTGAACTAGTTATTTTTCCAAGAGAAATTGATACATATGTCCATACCCAAATCATATATGAATAGGCACATTTATTTGTACTAACTAAAATTTAGAAACAAGCTAAATATTTTTCAACAGGTTAATGGTAAAGTGTGGCACACCCATACAATGCAATACAACTCAGTAAAGAAGGGAATGAACGACTGATAGACCCAACATGGATTAACCACAAAATAATCATGCCAAGTGAAAGAAGACAGTCACCCACCCCTCAAAATAAGAGTACATTCTATGCGATTCTATTTATATAGAACTCTAGGAAATGTAAACTAATCTACGGTGAGCATACAAGAGGTTGCCTGGCAGGCAATGGGGATAAAGAAGAGTAGGAGGAAGGGATTACCATCGGTCACCAATATTATAACATCAGAAATTTTATCTTACCCGAGACACAGCAAGTAATTTAAAAAATGTTTGCTAAATGAAGACTTATCACAGCTATACCATGTTTATTGAATAAAGGTACATAAGACTTTCCCCGAAATAGCTTTAAAGCCTCATCTCCCTTTACCAAATCTAAGGCAATTATTCTCCCCCAAAATTATATACCTTATGCTTTTAATACATAATCTCCCATCTCCGAAAATGTAGTTCAAAGTTCATCTATTTCAAAGTGCCACATCATTACTTCCAATTCCTCTGATCTCCCCCCCCCATTAAAATTGTGTTTGTACTGCATTTTTACTACTTATACAATGTAATACATTCCTTTTCCACTTACAGGAATTTTCATGCACGTCTTATATATATACAGCAGTGCTATGCAAGAGCACTGCAATGATGGAAATGTTCTCTGTCTAGATTATCCAATGCATCAGACACTAGCCACATACATGTACTTGAGATGTGGTACTATAAATGAGCAACTTAATTTTTAATTCTATTTAATTCAAATTTATTTAAACTTAAATAGCCACATATGGCTAATGGTTACCATAACCAACAGCACAGATCTAGAGTGTAAGCTCCTCAAAATCAACATATACAGACTCTATTCCCCTTGGCATTTTCACAATGCCCTGCAGAAAGCAGGCATTTAGTTAGTATCTGTGGTTGGGTCTCCAAACTATTCAAAAACCTCTAACAAAACAAAATATAAGCAAAATATTTTCAAATAACATTTTAAGTAATAGTTACAAATATTCCAAATCTATGAAAAACATCTAGTCTCAGTAGTTCTAGTAATAAAAGACTTACCAAAACATCTTTTACATACTAAATCAAGTATTTCCCGAAATCGATTTGTCATTGGTGGTAAAGGTTTCAGATCAATTTTCCTGAAATCTTCTGGGCAATCATTTTTTGAATGGCCATCCTTTTTGCAGATGCTGCATACTATTGTTGGTGGCTATACAAAGGTAAAAAACAATCTAATAATCTAATGAACTATTGAGGGACTTCATCATCACTTAGAAAATAAGTCCCAAAAGAATCTTTTATATACCTCAGTTCTGATAACCTGGGCTTTTCAGGAGGTTAAAAAAATTAAAATATGTTAATAGAACTAGAAAGTTAATAGAAATGTGTTTTGAGCCAACCATTTTTTTTTACTTTTTTCCCCACTAACACAGTATTATTAAGGATTAGATCTACCTGAAGATGTAAGATACAGGAAATATCAGGAGATGCAAAAGGTATAAATTAATTCAAACAGTCTGATCAGCTCCCAAGATGAAATACATACATTACATTTTAATCCACTAAGATCTTTAATGAAGTAAATTTTAAGGAAATTTCAAAAGGCATCTTTCATTTCACTCCAAACATTTTCTATCTTTAGAATCAACCAATTACAGAACCCTCGCTGACTAGTTGGTTCAATTTATTACATTAGCATGGTACTCAAGAAACTAAACTCTAGGGCTGAACTCTCAAACTAAATTAGCTTCATACAAGGAGAAACTCTTATGCAATAGCCACAAACTTAACTTCAAGCCCTATACCACCATTTTAAATGTATTCCAATGGACTACCAGACAGCTAAAACAGACCTTTATCCCAACTAATTGGAAAAAAATACATTGCTAAGGAAGAGCACTACTCTTTTCTTTGTGGTAAAATGCTTAGATCCTAGAGTTACATTCTTCCTCCAGGGTTGGCCTGAACATTTACCTAGCTGAACTCTGATGCAAATTACATACAGAAGCCTCTATTTAAGGGAATGCTGTGTTATGGGTGAGCTAACAGTACTGTAGGGGTTTCTATCATCTTACAAAGGTCTCTTTTTTTTAAAGTGACATTTACAAGCAATTCTAGAAAAATATTACAGGTAATTAGAAAAAGTTTAAATAGTTATCCTAAGTTAGCTTTCAGGGGAAAAAAGTATAAAGTACAAGAAATGTAAACTGCAGTTATATAATAAGGGGCTTTTCTAAAAATCTGCCACTTATTTCATCCTTTAAATAGTCCATTTGCCCTAAATACTGCAACCTAAACAAAATATGACAGATGTGTCCTTAAGAAAGAATGAAGAACACAGCTTAAAATTAAGGTCAAGAATTTTAAGTCTTGTAATTTTTGAGGAAACAATAAAGCTTGAAGACTTTCAAGATTTAAAAAAAAAATTCTACTTGGTTTACACATGATCTATATAACCATTTTTTCACCCTGGGTGCTGATAATATTTCAAAAATTTATACTGTACTTGACGCAATATGACTTAGCTAAAAATTTCTTTTATTAACAAAGTTGTTACTGCTTATTTTCTGTTCACTGGGTATTTTATTTCCTATAATTTATCAAGTTAAAGTTTAGACTAGCCTACTTCAAAAGTAGAAAAGTTGAGACTTCTGTAATTTATAAGGGATAAGCCAAAATCCAAAGAGAAGTTCAATGGCAGAGGCCAAATCTGGATTCCTTATTCTTTTGGTTCTTGATCTTAGTTTTCACTCAAGTATCCTTATTAAGTTTATACATACCCTACCTTGACACACCAAATAAAAACTTTAAAACAGAATACTATTAGAGTTTACAGACCTTGTAATTCTCCTTTGTGGAAGAAAAAATAGATATTTGTATAAAAAACAGGCAAAATTTAAACTATAAGCTGCCTTTGCCAAACTGATTTTCATAAAATATCTGATGAATCCTTCCATATATGAGAAAGTAAAGCAAGTTAATTAGTAATAGATAACTAAAACTCCTTGATTTTTTTAAATATATTATTTAAAGGCAACTATAGGCAAAAATACAAAAAGAAAGAAAAATATACATCAAAATGTCATTCTAAAACAATAGTCTACCATCATAGAAGCTATTTTTATACTTCTGAATCTAAAAAAACTATAAATACAAAGTCATACAACAAACACAAAATCTTACAGATTGTTTACAAACTGTATCCTACCTTGCCAGAGGTCAAAATAAACTTATCAAACACATAATATAAATCCTGGGTAGGGTGGCTATCATCATCATTAAGGTCAGAAGCATCTTCTGCAGCTTTGCAGTTGCAAGAGGTAGAAGATGTGTCAGGGCACACAACCTGATGTGAACACTTTCTTTCTAAATCTGACCTGCAGTCTGTACCAGCAGATTCACCTGGGTCAGGGGATTTATAATCAGTGCAATTACACTGGCTGGGCTCCTTTTTAAAACAAGTTTTTGAAGGTGATAAGTCATCTTGTTTGTTAACTGATTTTGGATCTAATTCAGTGCCTTCACTGGTAGAAAGAGATGAAGATTCCTGTCTACGTTCAGCCAAATCCAGTTCTTTTACCAACAAATTGTGATCTTCAGTAATACACCTCTGTGATACACATTCCTTTTCATCATATTTATCAGGCTGAACTCTTCCTGCATGTATTTTTTCTGGGCTTTCCCGAAGTAAGTTGCAACAATTGGATGCCGTATTGTCAGACTTCACTGGTTTCTTATTGCTTATTTTCCCCTTCTCTTTTTTCATGGAATCCACTGTAGATTTATTTCCACCCTTCCTCTGAGGACAGGCAAAATACCGATAAGCTGCCCTGAATCTCTCCACAACATATTCATAAACAAGCTGGCTGTTTAAGCTCCGTGCAACATTCCTCTTGACTGAAAATGGATCTGGTAAAAAAGGAAACAGTCAATAGCTAGGTATCTACTAACAGACTACATTTCCAAGCTTACATAAACACATCTTAACCACTAGATTGTCAACAACGTACATGTTCCCAAAGTTTTTCTAACCTAGGTCCCAGCAAGAGTTCCTGCAAACTACATAGGGGAAATACAACAGCAACATCTTTTTCTTTGTGTCATAAAATAAAAAGCCAAAAGTAAAAAAGAGAAAAGAATACTAATAAGGTAACTGATGAGAGGATGGCTGAGGAGGCCAACTCAGTAATTAACAAAGTTTCAATGATGAAATTGCTAGAAAAAGCTATGCCAATATGCCTCCCTATATTACCACTGAATGAAATTTTTTGACCTCCAGGACCCATTAATAATTTTCACCTCTTGTCATTGTATATTCTTTAGTTATATGCTCCCTGCAATTTAAACAAATAGAAAATAGCCTAAAATTATCAAAGTTTCAAGTTAAACAAAATACTGCTTTTAAGATTTAACTTTAGTAAGATCAGAAAATTAAAGAGAAATAGAAAAGAAGAAATAGAAGGACCTAAGAAAGTGAAAATTAAACCAAAATTTAAATTTTGATCCAGTCTAAAATGGCTTTGCTGAAAAGGCTTCATCAACTGCATTCTCATTATTAAGAACATATGAGAGACTTCTGAAAATGTTTATGGGTTTTTGGATTTAATAAGCCTTAAATACAAATATTTCACAGGAAAAAAGAATAGTGCCACCCAAAAGACAATATTTTCTCCACTACTGAAGATCATTAAGTAAAAGGATTAGTAGACCAGGCTTTTCAGATTGTTAAGGTTGGGACATCTGTTACTTTCTGCTGTTACTACATCTAGACTCTTTTCCCCTTATAAAAGAAAAGGGAAAAAAAAAGAGAGAAATTACAATGGTTGCAGGCTTCAGAGTTTGTTTCTTTACTATACTAACAGTACAAGATGTAAGTACATGTTTGAGTGTATGAGAATATTTGTGGATCCAACTCACAGCAGAGAAGGTCAGCAGAGGACTGAGAGAAGAAAAGAATATGTAGCTTCAACAGACTAAAATGATCAACAGAAATTCAATTTCCTATCGTCAAAAAAGTGAGTGAAACACTATGTAATTTAAATATTTTATTAAGAATTTAGAAGTCATTCTATTAGTATCTCTAAAGATCTTAATGTTCTTGGGATATGATGTGAAACCTTGTTTGTCAATATCAACTGTACTTTTTCTTCAGCTTAGCCAGCCACATTTTCATTACCTTTAACTTTAGAAGGCAATGAAAAACTAGATTTAATTCAATTTTAAGCAAAATTTTGACAATTTATTCAAAATATCTTATTTGTATAACTATTCACTTTCTGTTCTTTAACATAATTAAAAATAATAATGAAAGCATGGAAATAAGCTAATAACTCCAACCAACATACTAACAGATTGAAAAGTTTTAAATAAATATTATTTCTATAAACTATCATGGACTTGATAAAGAATTTCTCTAAAATAAAATTCAATGACAACCTAGTGGCGTATATAGTGCTACAAAGCCAAGGGATAAAATTTATAACATTGTATTAGTAATAGATAATGAGTGGCATACAAAAAAAATATTCCCCAAATGAAATACATTATCTCACCTTCAATGGCTATTCTCCTTTTAGGCCAGTTTTTGTTTTCTCGTGTTAAAACATCTTGTATCCGTACACATATGACATATTCCTCCAAAGCAAAATCCAGTGTATAAAATTTTAGCAGCTCTAACCATAACTGTCCCAGGGATACCTGATTTGGTGTTTCCAATGTTAAAGGAGACTGGAAAAGAAAAAATACTTTTCATTAAAGCTTCACCACTACAGAATCACTGAATTTTCAGTTTAAAAAGACCTTCGAGATCACCTTTACAAAACTGAAGCATAACAGAGCAACTTGCCAAAATGTATTTTGTGGCACAGCTGGGGAACAGAGTCTGTTACTGACTCCTAGAATTTGTTCTTTCCACTAAACGAGTGACTCTCAACCTTGGCTGCGCATCAGAATCACAGTGGGAACATTAAAATACACTAATAATACCTGAGTTCCACAATACTTCTTGTCTCCTATACACACCCTTCCCAAGATTCTGATTTAATTCATCTAGGCTACAGACTGGGCATTGAGATTTTAAAGCTCCCTAGGTGATTCCCATGTGCAGCCAAGTTTGCAAACCACTGCGTTAACAACTACTACAGCTCCTAACTGCAGTAATTACTTTTAAAATTTAAGTATATGTCCTGGGCCTTCAAAAGTTAATTTCTTCATTCCGCAAATGTTTATTTAGAACCTACTATGTCCCTGGCACTTTGCTAGGTATATAAAAATAATGAAAGCTCATACTGATACATAATGTTCATCATGCATCACTCACTCTTCTAAGGTGCTGTACATATAGTAACTATTAATTCTAACATATCTGTGTAGTAGACACTATAGGGCAAGGATATGACTCAGGACCTCTGGCTACTGGGTCCATGTTGCTAAACACTTCCTACTTCACAGACTACTAGGAGAGAAGAGACAACTCAACAAATACGGTAAAAGCTATGTGGCGAAATGGACCTCTAAATCCAGGGATCCTAAAAGAAGATGTAAAACCTGAATTCTAAAGGAATTGGCTAGATGAAGACTAGCTAAAAGTGAACATTAAGGAGCATAAAGGCATGAAACAGTTATTCATTCACTCAATTCTACAACTATTCACTGAATGCCTACTATGTGCCAGGTACTTGGGATATAACCATGGAGGGCGGGGAGGGACAAAGATCCTTCCTTGCCTTAGTGGAGCTTACTTTCTAGGGGAAGAAAACAATGAACAACAAACTTAATAATTAAGTTATAGTAAGTTGGAAAAAATGCCATGGAAATAAGAAAATGTTGATTACATTTAGTAAAGGGGATGGGAGTATGGAAGTAGAAGAAGGTTCCATTGTTAAACAGAGTGGTCAGAATAGGTCTTGTTAAGTAGGTATGATGTGAAGGAGGAGGAAAAGTGTTCTAGGAATAGGGAACAAATAGAGCAAACACTCAATAAAGTAGGAGTATAACTAGCTTTAAAGAGAAAACCAAGAAAGCTAGTATAGTAGAGAGAGGGGAATAAGAGAAAAGGAGAACAAAGAGCTAGACGGTAAGACCACCTTGGCCTTTATTCTAAATTAAATGAGTAACTAAAGTATTTTGAGTGTGGGGAGGCATGATCTGACTTAAGTTTTAAAAGAACCATCTTGATTGGAGTATTGAGAATAGACTATAAGGAGCAAGGACAGATGCAGGGAAACTTATTAGGAGGCTATGATAATAATCCAGGCCAGAGTGGATGGTGGCTAGAACTAGGATGGTAACAGCAGAGGTGGTCAAATTCTGGATGTATTTTGAGGTTGAGATGATTCGTTTTCCTGACAGATTTTGTATGGTGCATGAAATACAGAAGTAAAGGATGACTCCAAGGTTTTTGTCTAAGCAACTGAAAGGACAGCATGGAATCAACTGAGATGGGAAAACTTCATGTGGAGCAAGGGGAAGCCCAGTAGCTCGGTTTTAGACACATTAAGTTTAATACATCTATCAGACATCAAAGTAGAAACTAACTAGGCAGTTAGAGATAGAGTTCAGAGGAGAGGTTTGGATGACTATTTAAATTTTGGAGTCATCCTCATACAGATGGTACTTAACACGGAATTGGGTGAGATCACCAAGGAAGTATAAACAGAAAAAAGTTATCAAGGAGTAAGTCCTGGAGCACTCCAACATTAAGAGACTAGAGAGGAAAAGAGGAACCAGCAAAGAAATAATTGGCCATGGGTGTGGCATCCTGAAGGCTAAATTAAGAAGTTTTTCAGAGAAGTAAATTGTCAACTGGCAAACATTGCTGATAAGTCAAAAAAGATAAAAATTGCAAAATGACCACTGGATTTAGCAATGTGGAGGACAGTGACATTGATGATACAAATTCTGGAAGACTGATGGGGGTCAAAGCCTGATTAGAGTGAATTAAAAGAAACAAATTGAAAACAATGAATATAGACAATTCTTTCAAGAAATTTTACGGTGAAAGGAAACAAAGGAATAGCTGGGAAGGGGTGTCAAGATTTTTCTTTAAAATGGGAGAAATAATAGCATGTTTGACTTAGTGGAGAATGAAAAATTGGTAACTGGAGGGAAAGAATTGCTACAGCAATCTTCTAGAAGAGACAAGAGGGGACTGAATGCACAAGTGCAGAAAATGACTTCAGATTACAAGGGAAGTCCTTTATGAAAACAGGCAGTAAGATAGAGTATGTGAGGGCAGATAGTGGTAAATGGTGGTAGGATTGTGCAGAAGTTCTCTTTTGATTGCTTCAGTTTACTAAGTGAGGTAATAAGCAAGATCATTAACTGACAATACTGATGGTTTGAGGAGAGGGTAGCTGGTAGTCTAGACAAGTGGGAGAATTGAATGGACTAGAAGATATGTGCAGGGAACTACAGCAATGATTTCAGTGATGTTCACATTTCTGTAATACATCTATTTCAGAAGACTACATACTTTTGGAGGACATAATCCATGCATATTTCATCTTTGATTCTCTAGCACTCAGGATAATGCCTGGCACATAGCTAGCTGGTCCTTAGTAAGTGACCGTTTTATTAAATGATTAAATAAGCAAGCCACACCCTAAAGAAGCACAGTGTCTATTTTTCCACCAATCTGGCAACATAATTCCTATTATGTTAAAGTTTTGTTCACAGCCCAACTCCTGAAGGAAATTTTTCTTGTCTGAATGAAAAAGATATAAGATTACCTTGGCATGATTCAAACAACGCAAGTCTTCCAAAATGAGATATAAATTCATAATCTCGGTACTAAAAAACTAAACCAGATCAACCCCTCACTTTACAGATGAGGAAAATGAGGCCAAGAGGTTTACTCAAGGTCAGTCAATCTACTATTCAAATA